ATGCTGTTTCATGTTCAACAGCCCAGGCGACAATAATGGCATCGACGTCTTTGCATGCCGCGTCGTACCCCGGATCTACACCGCGTCCTTCGACGACAAAGGATTCAAGCTGCGGCCGGATGTTTGAATCCAACTTATCGGGGGTGCGGCCCATGCCTCGGACATTGTGGCCACGATGAAGGGCAGCCTTGGCAAGATGATGGCCCAGGTTGCCAGTTATGCCGGGGATAAGGATAAGCATGATTGAAGCAGTAGGAAAGTGAGTACTTAAAGATTGGTATGAGCATCTTGGGAAGGATTGTTATAAACCCTTTTATAGTTTGAGTCCGCGGACTCGGGCATACTCGAGTTACCGAAGTCTTCAAGTGTGACGCCACTTCTCGCTGACAAACAGTTTCCAGATGCAGGATTGAACTCTTTCTCGTCAGAAGAGTGGCTGAGTAATGCCATACTGGCGGATTCTTTCGAGGGAAAAACTCATTGCTTGAATAATACGGGACTTGACAGTCGGTGTTTCATGCTGATTCAACACGGCCGAGAGCAATGGCCACATGTGGAAGTCCCGAAACCGAAACCTAAATTGAGTAATGGTGGGGGTGGGGCAAATGTGGGGTTGGCGGGGTGGATCCTGGAAAATGAAGCTAGCCGAATGCTGGACTCGCGAAACCGAAAGCCAAGTAGGTACTAGCCCGTCAATGCGGTAGAGTTACAGAGACATGGTGAAGGAAGCTGTGAATATGTATTTTAATAATTAAATAAAAAAGAGATTTGTTGACTAGAAGAAAAGAACTATCTCCAGCGATAAAGCATTTACTAACGTTGTGAGTTCAACGAATTCGCGACACCGCTATAACCAGTGCAACCCAACAATTCAACCACGATGGTGTTCGGTATTTCCAGTAGCAAGCCAGTCAGTCACTGTTGTAGCTTGTTCAAAGTACAAAAAGACACTAGTATTCTCATTACATAGAAGAAATCGGATGTCAATTCTCCACATTCATGCACTCTATAACGAGCAGTGGCATTCAGCCCGGACTCGTCGGCCCGCCCGCTCCCTTTATTGCCTTCCATGTTCTTTCCTAGTTATACATAGCATCAACTAGCTAGCTTACCATCCCCTCATCTCAAGTGGTTCACGGCGTCCGACCTCAAGCATTGACCATCTGAAGCGGCCAGTCCAGTAGGCGCCTCCAACGAGGACTCGATGACATCTTGTCGGCAATGGCGAGGACCTCCTGCTTCGGCCCCGACCCTATATACCAATTTTGCGCGAATGGCACAAGCAGAGCAAAATAATGCGCCAGAACGACCAAGGATCTAGGCTGGCAGTCGAGAACCAAGTCCAATAGTCGCGTCGGGATGACCAACGGGAAGCGGAGAAGGTGTCTGAGAACTAGAAACTTGGCCGCGCCGTCATCCACCACACTCTTCACACTGCCAAGGAAACGAAGCGCCTCCTCGTATGCATCCTTCGTCTCCGCATCCCATGGCTCTAGTTCAACATCTTGTGCTAGTCGAGTCATTACATGCGCAAACGCCAAGTCGCTGAATTTGCACTGCTCCCAGAGGTTGTTGTTGTCGCGCGTGATGGAATAGCTGCTTAGGTGCAAGTAGGCTATACTATTTGGCTTGTCTTTTGCGACACCCCAGGCTTCCTCGTACAATGCACGCGTAGTGCTCACCATCATTAACCATTGCGTGGGTGGCGTATACGGCTGCAGCTTGCGTACTTGGAGCATGGCATACGCACAGAATCGGAGAAAGGCAGACGTCAAGCAAATGGCGTCTATGTTTTCACTGGTGATGTTGCGTAGCAGCGATTGATGTTCGCGTAGAGCCAGGGACAGGTATCGTCGGTGCACGTCGAGATCAGTGGAAGAGTCGTCCTGGCTACGGCTACTCCAGGCTTGGTGGAGGGCCGTGATGGAATACACGGTGTATAGCAGCGCATCACACTGCAGGGATAGCTCCAATATTGCTGCCGCGAAAATCGGCTGAGTTGGGTCGTCGGGGCAGATAGAGGGACCAGTCTTGGTCACGTAATTGCGCATGAGCCCAACCTCCAGCAAGCGGCGCTCCCGGCTTTCGGTGGCATCATCAACTTGCTTCACCAGACCACTACGTTTGTTGGTAAGGGAGGGGATAGAGGCCGAAGGCTGTTTCCCGGGCTCCCGGTTGTAGATGCAAGTTGCGCCGTGCCGTTTGCAGTGCTGGCATTTGGGCTTTGCTTCGTTACACTTTCAACCGTTGAAACATGGATAAGTTAGCCCATACTTGCGCTATGATTAGAGTCTCTGGACTGGGAGTGCCAGCGACTTGCCTTGACCCGGCGATCTCTGCATCTTTTACAGCCAAACCTGGACTTTTTCGAGTTGAGCCTGGGGATGAGAAACTTGCCCTCCCCTGGGGCCTCCAAAGCATAAACGTTGAACATGGTTGTTGATTTCCACTTAATTGTAGCGATGAGACGGAATGTATGGCCCAATTTAGCAGGAGGGCTTGAGAATTGGTTCAAAAGACCCCAATGTTGAATGTTGTGCAACTGCATCGCCAACTTCGGGAGGGACGGATAGCAAATTGGCGCAATCAGAGTCCCAACCAATGCGAGGCGCTGGGCCACTTTGCGCTGCTCCGCAAGCTTCATGTGCATGTCAATGCATGTGGCTTTCCCTTAATTCTCAAGTCTAGTGCTCAGGATGGATTTGTAAGCACTCGCGCGCTCGCCCGCATCACCAGTGTATCACAGCATGCTCGACTTTGAGTTGATTCGTAACAAGGTTGCCACGTCAGGCACCGTGAAGCAGAACAGCCGGCTATTGCCGCATCTGAGCACAAGTATTCTTGAAAGCCCATTCGACTCTTGAGGCTATATAAAATACAGGCGGACCCCATGAAATTGCTTCTTAAGCATCTCACAACTACCCGGTACATGTCTGTGACTGAGTCTTACCATTGACACTCACTGCATAATGACATCGAACAAAGCCGCCTACATCAAGACGCGCCATGCGCCAGTCGAGGTAGAAGCCACTGAAGTGTGGGTTCCTGGACATGGCGAGGTCTTGGTTCGGAATGAAGCCATTAGCTTCAACCCAATTGATGCCAAGATTCAAAGGTACGTGTTTGACTGCGCAACTTGAAAGTGAGCAGATGTGCTGCAGTTGCTAATTCGGGTCTAGGCTGGACTTGTTCCAATCAACTTATCCTCTTGTCGGCGGCTTCACATTTGCCGGGACCGTCGTCGACGTCGGCCCTGGGGTCACGTCCGTACAACCAGGCGACCGAGTCGCAGTTGCTCGCTGGGGCACGGCAGCAAGTGAGAACAAATCCGGGGCCTGGCAGCAATATGCAATCGGCCTAGAGGAATATCTGGTGAGACTCGCGCCAGAGACTTCCCTAGAGGTTGGTTCCGGTGTCATCGCCAACCTTGCGACGGTGGTCTCCGCCCTGACAATTCACATGGGCTTGTCCAAGCCGCCCGTCGCGGGACGTTCGGAGCCGAATGGGAAAAGGATATTTGTATACGGGGGGTCATCTGCAGTTGGCGGACTGGCAGTGAAGTATGCCTCGGATGCTGGGTACCATGTCGTGACGACTTCTTCGCCGAGAAACAGAGAGCTTGTGGAGCGGCGCAAGGCCGCGCATATTATCGACCATACTCAACCAAGAGAGGATCTTGTTATGGAAATTCTGGCTCATGGGCCTTATGACGGCGTCTTTGATAGTATTGGCACGTCAGAGGCGACCCAGCTTATGGGTGAGTTGCTTCGAGATACCGGAGGCCTGTTCTTCTCAACCGGTCCTACTCCGGAGGACAACGCGCTCCCCACCAATGTGCAGAAGAAGTGGGCGGGATATTCCGACATCCTAGTGTCGGAGGCAGCAAATAAAGGTCTCCGTGATTGGTATTTGAGAAGCTACCTGCCGGCAGCTTTGAAGAGTGGTCAAGTATGGCCGAATCCTGCGGTTAAGCTTGAGGGAGGGTTGGGTTCTGTTCAGCGGGCGCTGGATCTGATGTTTGATGGTAAAGTCACCGGATCCAAGTTGGTCGTTAATCCTTGGGACTGAGAATTGAGCTGCACATCTGTGCTGTGCTCAGCTTTGGGCGCCCAGGTGATGATAATAGTCTCGACGTTATACCTGCCGAATACTGTGATTATCTCGTGCAAGGTAGACCTTTATGACTATCTATTAGGTCTTTTACATCTTGTTCTAGCCTTTTATGCTCGTTAAAACCATATTTAATATTACATATTTTTTATAAGTACTTATTTATATTACTTATAAGTATTTACAAATAATAATAGTTATATAATTAAGTATATTAAAAGGCTTAATAAAATTACATTACTATAAGCACCTACCCGTTATTTGTAGTAGCAGTTGAAATATTCTGTATTTATTCCGAAGGCATTAAATCTCAATAGTACAGCCTCCTATATCCCGCCACGTCGGGCCAACTGTTTAAGCGGCTTTAAGAGGCCCCTCAACCAGTTTACCGGGTTAATATACATACACGTGCTTAACAGGACGAACAAATTCTGACAATCTGGTATATTTCTAAGGAGGGTAGGTTTAAGCAGCCAAGAAAAGTAGCTGAGGACAGTGGCCGATATGAAATTCCTTCCATTGATACTTTTTGGACACTGACCAATATTGACAACCAACTACCACCAAGAATACAGAACCTTGAGTAAAACTCTATAAAGTAACAAGAGTTATACATGGAATATTATCCTCTAACACAAGAGTACTATTTTAAAACTATTCCTGGCAATTCTTAAAATGCCGGCAGGTTAAGCTACCGTTTATTGCCATTTGTTTGTACTCTTTAGTACCACCTATCAAATTTATCCAACTTATTAAATTCTGGTGGATGATGGGCTTCACGGAGGAAGACGCGGAGCGGAGTGCGGTCCTGGCATGTAGCTTGTGGCGTATTTCCTTGTCCAGGATACCACACCAAAGGATGGCACTGAGAAGAAGGACGTGGCGAAAGAGGGATTACCTCAATGGCTCCGGGGAACCCACCGCCTTCAATTGGCTTAATAGCGAAGTTATACGTGCCTTGATCGCCGCTGGTATAGCTCACTTCTACCTGATTGTGTGCTTGCTCCTCGTTGAATTTCAGGTCCGCGGATATCTCTGTGGCTGAAACTGCGACTGTTTGTCCCTGATTAAGGATGATTTCTTGGTCGCGAATTATCTTGACCCCATCGACGGGTGGCCCTTGTGCGACTTTATCCAGACGGACAGGCCTGTTCATGTTGTTCGTGACAATAATTTGACCAGGGCTGGCCGTTGTCACGCCCCAGTATAATTCTGGGAAACCCAGAGAGGATACCGCGAGGAACGATATAGCGGAGAGCACAGAGTACTTCATATTGACGTTGCGTTGAATAAAACGTGAATAATAATATATCTTGTTAGGGGAGTCGACTAGTTTATAGAGAGTGCTGTGTAAATAATTTTACATCTCGAATATAGCTCCTATTTATATAATTTTGTATTCTAGTATTATTAGTTTTTTCAGTATTATGTAATAACTGGAATTAATATATTATATTAACTTTATTATTTTTGTTTTTACAATATTTACTTTTGCTAGTAAATTTTAAAAATTACTACACAAGTATTATACTCGAGCTATCTTGGCCCAATTAAACCCTGTCTACGAACTGTGCCGAATCGCCGTGAAGTGTGTAAAGTAAATTTATTTGGTCGCAAGTTAGTTGCCACAAAGTCGTTACATTTTTGAATACACGGGATAATAGTTACTATACTAGCACGCACTAGTATAAGCAAAGACTCCCAAAGCTAGCGCCGACGCAGTTTACAAGCAAATAGTGTTACGGGACGAATTGTGGATAGGCTTGACACGGCAAGCGTCAATTCCGACTCGCAGTGTCGCGAGTGTTGTCAGCAGACAAGGCTAAGTAATGTAGAATCCGTGTATCTGGTAAATGTTGGATCTACTTTTTCTATTTACTATATCTGCTCTTTTGTAAGCTGTTCCAGCTACGCGATAATTTAACTTAAGCTGCGAGGGGAATAAAAAGTTAAATTATACTATTACTTAAGAGCTTCTAAAAATATATTTTTAGTAATAAAAAGTTTAAAGTACTTCTAGACTATAATTTATAGTATTTACTGCCAGTTATTTACGTGTAATACAGTAATTTAAGCTTTAAGCCACTTACGTTAATATTTTCCCCTCTTTACGAAACCACTTTATTCGCCAAATAGCAAGCCGTTACAACTTGGCCAAGTACCAGCACTTGGAAGTTATTTTACAGTAATACACCGGATCCGGTAATTTGCCGGACTTACACGTAAATAGGGGCTTGTAGCAGGCCCCTATAGAGCCTTACTACTAACTTTATATGACGAATCCGTATTATCAACACCCGGAGTGGTCGGTAATCGACTAGGGATATTGTGTTATATCCTACCCTCTCCCACGTACCGAGATCAATATTCCTAAAGCCTAATAGAATATAGCTGTTTCAGCAAAATTGAGAACAATAACTTATTATATCTTATTAATAATACTGTTACTAAGAGATATAATTAAGTAATAAAATATTAATAATTTCCTAGAAAGCTTTTTAAGTCTTATTAGTCGCTAAATAAGGGCCAAAAATAATCGTCAAGTAAATAAATATGTCGTCAAGTATAAGGAAAAATAAAAACAAGGAGAACCGTACTAAAATTTGATGATCCTACAGGTACTGTACAATTCTTTGTATCGCTGTGGCGCCTTAGAATCACCGAACAAGGTGCCGAATGCAGTCTCCGTTGACGGCGGACGGAGGTGTGCCCGAAGGAACGGGAATTCGATTGCGCTTCCTTATGGCATTTACATTCAGGTGATAGGTTCCTTTTCCATTGGACGTGCCTTCCTCGATACATGTCCCTGCCCTTTGCCGGGCCTTTACACCTTGACTATAAACGAGTTTGTGCATTTCGTGGCCGTTTATCATCTCCGTATGCCAAGTTCATAAGCGTGAAAGATGCCAGGCGCTCGGACTGTGGAATTTAGTTGATAGAGTTCCTGCTGTGATATTACCTGAGCTACAACTTGGCTAGAATAAATTATAAAGTCAGTAATAATAGCTTTAGTACTAAATTACTCGCGTTTATTGCTGTTCGCGAGTAATTCAGCAATGCAATAGCCTTGCCGTAAGCTCCCAAAACATGGACCGACATTGTGCCTTCCTTTAATTGAATAAAGACTCCAATCGGTTATCTGATTACCGACTAGTCTAGTTCGAGTATGGATACAAATACTCCGCACATTCGGGATAGTCCAGGGCCGCGGCCTCGGACTTGAAAGAGAGCGCCACGGAGACGGAGCCACGGACGAATGCTTTTCCCAGGCAACTCAACTCACAGCTTATATCCACGCCGAGGCATCGAGTTGCTCGACTTCAATTCAACATCTATTAGTATTATCCATCCCACCATTGGCTGTTGATCTCCATCTCCCATCACCGGCATAACACCCACCACACGCAGAGCACGATGACCAACCCTAACCCTAACGCAACAGACGGACTCATGGCACAGGACTCCCTCCGACGGCGCATGATCGGCCACGGCGCCCTAATGATACTGACGGCTCTGTTAGGCGGTTTCGGCCTATACATGCACATCATGGGCGGTATCGAAATATCCCCCGGGCATCTGATCACGTTCAACGTTCCCGGCACAGAAGCCGGTTGGGTGCGGTGTCATACAGGTCCCGTGGCAAATGGGTTCATGGTTATCGTGACGGCACTCGGGATGGTGCACTTGCCTGTTCCTGAAAAGGCCGCCAAGCGAATTGGCTGGGTTGTTGTCATGGACGGGTGGTCGAATGTGGGATTTTACTTTTTTGGCAATCTCTCGCCTAATCGGGGCCTCGCGCTGGGAAAGACACATGTTGGCGATGCAAATGTTTGGAGCGTCCTGGCTTTTGTTCCGGCAGTGGTATTTGGCTTCTTGGTTGTTGGGGCGTTTGCGGAATTGGGTTACTACGGATTGTTTGATAAGAACAAGAGTCCACGTCCGAGGCACGAGTTTGACATTGGGGCATATGGTCAGAAGACAAAGTAATCAGAATATGCGTCAACAGATGGGATGAATGACTGATTAAAAGCATTGAAAAGCATAACGGTATCGATTGGTGTATACCAGGTCATGAGCCTGCATTGGATGCTATTCTTCATCATGGTGCCAGCGCGTGTACTCCGTCCAGCGTTGGATAATGGCAAGCAAATCCATACATGTTGCATCGGTCTAGAATTGTTCGTGCTTGATCTCAAAGTTGTCAGATCGGCTCAGCACTGTTTGACGGATGATTGGATCACAGAAATGTTCTTCTCGGCCAGTCCAATAAGTACAGCAACAGGTCAAATTTTGCATGACAAATTACTCATAGAACCGACGGTCTACGGTGTGCAGCGATGGTAGCCACGTGGGTGAAACAAGTGTCGTTGTCTCGACCCTGGGGCTCGCATATCTTATGTCAACAGTCGACCGGGATTTGTATAACTCGTGTCAGATATCACGACGGCGCTGACATGATGAGTCAGTTCGCGACATTAGAGGTAACACAACGCTCGTATATGCAGGCGATGAATGCAAGAGTTAACAGAAGAAGACAAAAAAAAAAAGAAATGCCATGCAGAAGCTACGTGAGTCTGGGATGGATGCCAGCTCTGGTATGAGTCGTGGCTCTCGTGCGCGGCCCCCAACGAGTGGCCACCTGGAGGGCATCAGACACATGCTGCAACCCATGGCACCAGAGTGGGCGAGCCCGAATGACGAGATATATTTTAGCAAAGAAGCGACGTATCATATTTGTGCAACCCCTTCCCCTATCAAGGTCATTGTCCAGACATAGCCCATGCTTTACTACTTAGACAAATGAGCACATGTAAAGAAGCACAATGAGTTCACTCCTAGTCGTGCATCTGAAGGTCACCAAGAGAAACATCTTGGAGCGGAAGTATCGGCCAATCTTTGGTCCCGATCCCATCAGCCAATCTTGTAACTTGGATCTTGCCGTAACTCTCGTTGAGCTCCTCGATATTGCCGTAGTAAGATGTGTCCATCTGGTAGATTTTCTGAATAAGCTCCAACAAGTCAAGCTGACCTGCCGATTTAAAATTCCACCAGGCGAGGCTAACAGGTGTCACCTCGGTTATTGTCGTGTTGCCGATCTTGGTGTACTTTTGCAACCCTCGGAAGAACCTCTTCATGTCTTCGCGAGTAGCAGCAATCACCAAAAATCGGCCCCAGTCGCCGGGTCTGAGCCCCTTCGTGGTCTGTGAGAGGTGGGCATAATAGGGGCTGGAGTGGTAAAGGATTGCATGAGACATGATGAAGGCTCCATGGCTGATGAATGCGCTAAAGGCGTACGTTGAAAGGTGAAGAACACGGAAGTCTAAGCGGTGCGTGTTGACCTTCAAGGCCATGATTCATATATTTATTGTTCTGCTTATGCGGGAACTGGCTGCCTCGATCAGCACGCTGTGCGGTCCAGGGAAAACTAATGTTACCTTGGACCCCCCCTTCTATCTACCATATGCAAGGAGACCGAAATGGAGGCCAAGACACAGGCAATCTTGACACGAATCCAAAGAATGGGGTGTCTTTGGCGTAAATGTTTGCTCAAATCTCTTGGCGTATGAAATTATCGCATCTTGTCCTCCACACGAGTTGTCCGACGGCAGCAAGAGTGCGACACGGAACGCATAGAAAGCACCTCCTTGTGAGTAAGTTTACTAGGAGCTGTAAGCATAATTATTAGCTTAATTTAGCTGGAGAAGAAACTGTCTACTGTGATGCCTTGTTTGTTGTTGTGTAACGTGGTCTGTTACGGTTCTCTGGATGGGGTACGGCCAGGCACATTGTGACTCTCACTGGGTCTTACCTGATGTAGGGCTTACACGATCATTTGGACGGGTCGAAAAACAAAAAGAACTCGAAACCTGACAAATGACAAGGTCTAGACCAACAGGGCCATTGTGAGAATCGGCACAATCCCGTCCGCAGAGCCGACACGGCAAAAGGGTCAGGAATGACTTGAACAAGTCGTTACCGTGTACGCGCTTCACCTGAGACCTCAAAGAGAAATGTGAATTAATTTGAATGTTTGATACACATACTAAAGCGCCTTTGCATTCGCATTATAGTATAGGGAAAACCCCAAAGTTTAATTTGCGGGATAAAAACCTATACCAAGGCAAGATGTTCAGAATGACCGCCTCCAAGGGCAACCCATGAAGCTTTCTCGCTCTGAGCTTGTCAATTAGTGATATCATCATTTACTACCACACTATGGCACTCACCGTACTAGACTTGTTAAGCCAGCCTCTAAATAAATCTCATTCTGAGATAGTCAAGTTCCCAGCCCGAGCTTCCCTCAAATCCTACAATGGAGCCGTTTGCAATGTCTAAGAACAGATTACCGGAGTCACCTCCGGCATCCCAGAGAATTCCAGTACTTGTCTGGAAGCCGAACTTGTGAATACGCCACCCTGCTCGTAGACTAAAACTTGCTCTCTCATTGCCTCCAAATTCATACCTCGAATATACGTCTGTATCGACCGGATGGTTGTAGAGTCCTTTTTGTTCCCCAGTAAACCACGTGAGTTGGATACCTTTGATAACCCAATGGCCGTTGGCATCCCCGGATCCCCAACCGCTCCATATCTCCAGTACCTTTACAATGGACGAATGCGCATACGGGTAGAGAGAAAAGGGTTGTCCGCTATCTCTACCATAGAAAGGAGTCTGATACTGAGGCATTTGTGGGCGGAGCGCGCTCTTCCGTATGGAAATCTTGAAAACGTAAGTGGGGACTTTAAATATCGAACTGCTGAAATACAAACGAGAATTTATCATATTCTTGAACAAAATTCTATGTTTATATACCCTACAGTAAGTTCCAGGTGCGAGAAGTAGGAAACGGCGAAAGAGAGGGTAGCTGAAGCTGACCCTGGAGACGTGTAATTTGGCTTCGACTGGTTTTCTATTCCGTCCAATCCGCAGTACAGGGGAGACACAGAGATACAAAGCAGGGGGGCAGCCTGAGAAATACCTGGCTAATCACTTTGTATAGGCAACTCCAATAAGGCAACAAGATGCGTGGCGCTCATTTGAGAGTCGGGAGAAGTACCAGACATGACTACGTTTCTGGATACTCATGCACGGTGTAGTCCACTCAGACACCCACTCCTGACGGTACCAGTTCCCAGGCAAGACATGAAGCTTTCAGTCCTGTAATGAAAAGAGGGGGGTCACGCAGCAGCATTTCGATATCATGCACGAGGCTGAGAGAGAGAAACACAAATCATAACCGACGTACCCTAACGAGTCAAACGGCAGTTGGCCGCTTGGTCTGTTTGTGGCTACATGGTTAGGACGATCCCTCTCACAGTCATCTTGGTCTGCGCCTTGGCTGAGGAGCAGTCACTACATGCAAATCAGAAGGCGTGTTGAAGATTCAAGACGTGTTTAAAACGTTGCCATAATCCGGCAAGCATCACCCAATTATTCACTATGATGAGCCAAGCAGCTCTCTGCGTCTTCAACTAAAGATCACATCTTGAATAGCAAGGCATGCATCCTCCCCTACACCAGACACACGTGACGATTATTGCGTATACAAGAAATCTACATGAAGCGGACAGCTTGCCACACTTTAAGAGCCCTTGTTGAATTCTCGAGAAACGGTGAACATGGTAAGCCGGTCAACATGTATGGAGTAAGACGGCGGCATTCCGCAGATGGAATCTCGGAATGCTGCCCCAACGGAATTAGAATGCGACACTGCGCTACTACCAAAGCGCCGAATGTCACATGGATTACTGTAGATTGCTTAAGATCACCTGATCGGACGACAGGGTGAGGAAGACTCGGCCCAAGTGTCTCTGCTCTATTAAGAAATACTGAATAAGAAAGGCCATTCCATTGAATCGTATCAAATATGACTGTAAGGCGATGCGTTAAATTGTGTATGTGCCTTAAGGGCAATGTAATGAGTCAGAAATCCGCCAAAACCAAACTACGTACGTCTTGGATAACGAAAATTGGCCAATTTTGGGCAAGGTCTCGAACCGGAGCCAGGTCCGAAGGGACTATGCTTCACGACGTAAAAGGATTCGTCCGCATAGCCAGGACCACTGTCACTGGCTCAGCTGGCCAAGAACTTTGAAGCGTGACATTAACAATGCATGTTGGCACCCTTTCTCATGTATTCATGTATAAAGGCCCACATCCGCGTGAAAACCGGCGGCTTATCTCTCTACTCTAGTTGTTACACGGAATCCACGTAGCAACGCGGCACAGAATCTGACGATAGTTACACAAGGGTTCGAGACCTAGTGGAAGCCTCAGGCTTTCAGGCCTCAAGGCTCACCGTTTCTTTCAACAAAGAAGAGGGTCTTGCCCCGAGGCCCTTGGAAGAAGCCAAGGACCTTTCATATCAAAGCAAAGTATTAGTTGAATACGAGCACAGTTTCAAGCCTTTACTCATTGAAACTTTGTAAAAGTAATGGGACAGAGAGAGTGTCCTCAGCCCTTTTGTTGGAGTTGCAGTACACCAGGGCTTTAACCATGGCCCATACAAGCTTTCGTAATATTACAAGTAGGATATCGCAAAAGCCTAACCTTAATATACTCTATATCTTTTGATAACATATCAGTAATCATGAAACCCCGTGAAAAACTGTCACTAAGCCCCGCAATCACCCGTCGCTCTGGCAAGCATGTCCATGTCAGCTCTGGAAAGGCGCACGGGTTTCTCTATGCGCTGCTCCATCAGCAGCTGTGTCTGTCTCCGTCAAAGGCGTTCATGGGAGAGACGTTTTCTACGTTAACTACTTCCTCTTCTTATGACTGATGGTATCTGTGTCTTTCCTTCTGAAGTTTGAAAAAGCATGGCAGTATGATTTTGCTGCTTGGCAGATACACCGGAGGGAAGACGAGTGCGATTAAGTCTTTCGGACAAGCAATGGTATATCCTTTTATTGCCAAATCCCCCAGTCTAACTTCCGCCACTCCCCACATGTTACAGAGACGTACTTCACATGCCTGAATGTTCTGAGATCACGAGAAGTGAAGATTGACGATTTCTACGAGGAAGACGCATATGGCCAGCTGTCCAAGGCATTCGAGCCTTGAATTGTTCGATTGGCCTCCTCGAACCCAGAGTTCCAAGACCTGTTGAAAGCATCACCGGCATTGTTACGATATCTCTCCCCCGTCTACTTCGTTTGCGGCCTAGTTGCTACCAATGAGAATCCGGAGCCATATGTTCGCGATTCGAACGATCATAGCTGGGGAACTCGGAGCATATGTGTGGATGATGTATTCCTAGCCGACTTTGACCGTTGGACGCAGTCATATCACCCAGCGAATGTCGAAATATGCTACGGCAAGCCTGAACATGTCCTCATCGGGCCTCTCAAAAGTGGCAGTTGGTGGCAAGGACAGTCGCACCGACTACATTTCCAAGCCATTCAACATCTCATTTGGCCATGACCACTACAAGGAGGAGCTCATGCAGCTGAAAAGGGTCGCCGTCGCTCTGGCAACCCTTCGTCCTCCACCGGATACACTGGTTTATCGTCTACACGGCGTTTTCCGCCACGGCGATGAACTGGAAGGAATGTTGTTCACTTGGATGGACGAGAATGAAGTCCTGTGTCAGGGAAGAGCTAAGAGAGCCTCGGCTGAGCTCAAGAACCGCTGGGTCGACTAGGTTGAGCGATCGTTGCATATCTGTCATCGGGAAGGCATCATTCGGGGCCATGCAAAGGCCGAGAATATTCTAATTGACAAGGCTAACAATAAATTATACAAGAGGGTGGATTGACCAGACAAAACTGGCATTATTGAGAACGATTTTCAGGGCTTGTTCAAGATATTCAAAGATGTTCCACTGGACATCGACAGTTTCGATGTGTTTTAGCTGCTATCTATAAAACTGCGAGATGCGGGATTTCTCGACGATGGGCGTCCAAGTTTAGCAAATAAATATCCTATCAAATCTCAAGGCTTTCATACAAGTTACAAGAATTTCTACAATATAGGCATTTCGAATCGAACAAGGAGATACAAGGAGCAGCGCAGCTCGCACTCAGCCTCTGCCTAGTTTAGCGCGTCTGATAAACAAACTAGGAAACAAGATTATTTGTTATTTTCTTATTTTATTCAGCTCATACTCTCTCCATGTGACAATTTCGTTTGTCCCTCGCCTCTGAGATACTTCTATACCGTCATTAACTAGCTGTTGCTGCATTGCAAGACGTCTCAGCATCATTGTCACACGGAAATGGCGTTGGTTACACAAGGGCTACGGTCACGGGATTAGGGCAGAAGGCTCTCACCGACTTCTTGTATAAATAAACATCTTCGGTCCCTCAAGGCCTTGGGGAAAACCAGGGACCTTTGATACCAAAGACTGTTATTAGATGAATTGAGTAATTGCTCCAAGCCTAACCCTTGTCACAATCATCTTCTTTCCAACAATGACTCATCTAAACACCCAATCGTTCACTGGCCATCTTAGTCCCTTGGACTCTGTTACTTATTTTTTGGAACGCAACGTCTCTCGCCAAGTCTGGGCTTCCATGCTTCGGCTTCACATCGATGGAGAAAGGCGAGAAACCACAGTCATCTGTAGCACCCATCTGATCAATAGGAATATACTGGGAGGCCATGACCAGCTGATCCGCAATCTCCTCTGGTGTCTCAATCCTCGGGTTTATAGGGCTGACGACCCCGATGAAAGCAACCTGCTTTACACCTTCAGCATCCTGGCGAATTGACTCCCCAATTATCCTATACATGGATTCCCTGTCCGTCTCGCTCGAAAGCTGAATAAGGAAGTAGCCAGCATTTATTTTGAAGAGACTGGGTAGCAGTTGATTGTACGGAACGTCGGCAGAGTGTACGCTGTCACAATCACCGCCCGGGCATGTATGAAGGCCAATATTGGCTCGCTCCTCGGGCGAAAAACCCGCCAAGACCCGGTTAATAAGGTCAATGAAGCGGTCGAGTAGCGCAGCACCGGTCCAAGGATTCGATGGATCATTCTTTAGGGCCAATCTGCCCTCGGTGAAATCAATACTGACCCGTTGGGCACCAGCTTCAAAACAGCCACGGATATCCTTCTCGCATTCGTCAACTAGATCCTGCATGAAGGCGCTCCTCGGATATCCCGCTATTTCGCCCTCCAGAGGATAAAGCAGGTACAGCATAGATGGTGAAATGACAGCCTGCTTCAATCCTCGTGTAGCGTATGGTGCGGACTTTTTCAAATTTTCAAAGGCGTAGGTGGCATACTTGAAGGGCCCAGATACGAGACGAGGCAGTTGGCGAGAATGTCCGTCATCAAAAACCGCAAACATTTGGCCGTCCCCTGCAAAATTGCTTCCGAGTCCAGCTCCCGTCAAAGTTCTAAGCTTCGTAATTAGTCTCATCCGTCTATTTCAGACAGGTGGGCAACCTAACTCGACGACGGGATATGTTGCAAAGCTGCTAACTCGCTGTTCCCCGTCAGTGACCAATACCTCACCAGTCGCTTCCAACCTCTCGATGCTATCTTTAGAGGCCCTATCTTGCGCAGCTTGGAGCTCATCGCGAGATATACTTCCGGCATCAAAGTCGGCAAAGGCTTGTTGAAGGTCTACAGTGGAATGTTAGGCCTTTTGAAAATTCTAGTACGTCCATGTCGCCACATACAAGATGGCCGTGGGAGAGATCCTGAAGAATAGTTAGTGGATGGCTCGACATAACAGCATTTCTGTGGTGGACATGCCGACAATTTCTGTTGGAATAGGCATTGTAAATTGGCTTGTACTTGACTGGACTTATGGTAAACACAATTGTGGCCGGAATGACTTTTGGCAAAACTATCAGGAGTGAGAAAAGAGAGAACCTCTTTATACGTGTCTCCCTTTCCCACTCCGCCTGATTATGGTTCTCATTTACTTCAATACCGACTATTTGTCCCAGTTATCTGAACTTCATTGGTCCGATGTCGAGCTGCAGGTGGCTCAAAAGAGGCGGTCCCAGCATGTCGTTGTTGAATTGGTTGGACGGCAATGACAGATGGTGGCAGCGCAGCATATCGCACAGGATCGACAATACATACAGAGTACTCCTTGCATTTGCGTCTTTGGGATACGGCTGTTTTGGTATTTGTATTGACCAACACACTTCTGCAAAATGTCTCATCCTTCGTCTGTCCATTGGTCGATTACAAGTCCCGCAGTCATGGAAAAAGTAATGTCTATGCAGTCTATCAGGGCTCTAGGCCCAAAGTCGTCCGTCTTGATCGTGTACACTGGCAGTTTGTATGAAGCGCGTCTCACTTGTCAAGGAGACATAATTCGAATTCGGAGCCCAGTTACATCATACTTGCTGTGGCCTTTTGAACAGCTACACGACCAGAAAAGGTCACTTGTCAAGCCGTCAAGTCGGCCAGGTTCGGATATTCTCCAACTACAGGTTAGGCTGAACTTCTACGTACACTCAGACTTGACGTGCAACTTTACACGTGTTCCAAGACCTGCATATCCAAGGCAATTACGGAGTAGCGGTGAGGAGCAGGCGGGACTAAATCCTGCAGCCAGCACGCATTGCTTTTTTGGCTTCTATGCGTCACACAGGTGGAAGTACCGTGACTTGGAGGTGTCCTACCAGTCAAAGAAATAATAGACCGCGCGGAATAGTGAGCCATTGATTTGTTCGTGTGGAGTCTGGTGGACTGTCGTGCATCTTTTTCCCCCTTGTTTAACATGCCATGTTCCTGCCAAAGGATTGACTCCATACTTCTCTAGTTTCCCCGGGCCGCAGAAATCGTTCATACTACTACTGCCTCCAGCTGATTCTGGAGCTGTCCCTTGACAGTTTGCAATGAGCATTGTGGGTAAGAAGCCAGCCACAGAGTATGCAGCAACATGTCGAGGAGGATGTGAGAACTGGAACGGATCACAATCCGGAGGCGGCAATCCTGACAATGGGGACACTTATTTTACAGGTGCCGTCTTGTCAACTCATGCCCAGCCCACGTCCTCGTCAAAGCCAGCTGCGGAGGGCGTAATATGTGCTATAGCTGAGATATGTCCCGCCTGTCCAATTATGAATCGGCCCTTGTAGATGAAGAAAACCCTGCATGGTTTGGTTCTGTCCCGAATCTTCCAACACCCACTTCCCCAATAAGCTCACTCTTGACTAGGGCCATTGTTATTCGTGTCCCATGTTGGTCTAAAGTCTGATAGTTGTACAGTTTGTGAACATATTTGGCCACCGCGACGGCATTGCACGACTTCAAAGGGGTCGAATAATGTACCGTCACTGCTCCGCAGCTTCTTTTGTGTAACAAGATAGCCCTGCTTCCTCAGCCACAAAGCCAGGAGGTCAAGCGTCGTACAGGAGTCTGAACTCGGCTTCTTTCAGGCAATATCCCCCGCGACGGGATGGACGTCAACGAGATCGAGTCAAAGTTGTCTCTCTTCTGCTCCTTCTTTCTGACTTTGCGACAGTCACGTGGTGGAAATTGCTCATCACATATTATGTCACTTCCATTCTCAACTCAAATCTATCCCATCTCGTCCGGTCCTGCTATTGACCCCTCTCCCCCCTCCAACGCGATCCGCATGGAGAAGATGGACCGTTCTAGGTCATGCATCCGAATGCCTTGTCCAATGGTCGTCCAAGAGACCCATGTAGCTGACGTCCGCTGACGTTGTTGGCCAGCCACATTATTTCGAGATGAAGGCCAATCTCAAGTTGCCGCACGATAACTAACCCCCTGAATTTCAAGGGCGACTCGAATCTGCCATTCTACGCACTCTTCCGTTGCGCGGCACAAACACAACATGTCATCATGTCCCCCATTCAGTCGATTAGTAGCGCCATCGCCAACAGCCTCACGCTACAGCTTGTAGTGATTGCTGGTCTCATTCTTGCTGTGCGCTCATCTCGTTTCTGTGGAAATGTGGTAATTGCTAACGGGCGCATGAAGTATCCCATCGGTTCGATTGTCCATAACATTTATTTTCACCCCTTGTCCAAGTTCCCAGGTCCCAAATCATGGGCAGCTACGTATCTGCCGTACATTAGAGGCATAGTTGCTTGCAACCTGGTCCAATCCTTTGCCGAAATCCATCAAAAATACGGCGACGTCGTTCGCGTTGGCCCTAATGAGATTTCCATTGCATCTGAAGAAGCCTGGAGAGAGATATACGGGCATAGACCAGGCCACAGGGAAGCGCTAAAAGACACAACTTGGTACATTGGTAGGTAGCGCAAGACATTGATCGATGATATGCTGACATTACATCAAAAGCACCATCTGGAGCACCCCAAAATGTCTTCACCACGACCGACCCAGCCGTGCGCGCTCGAATGAGAAGATGCTTGAGTAGTTCATTCACCCAATCCGCGATAAGCAACCAGAGTTCCATCATCGAGGGCTATGCAGATCTCCTTATTACCCGCTTACGTGAAAAGGCATCGGCTCCCGACTCGGCACAAAAAGGGGCAGTGGTCAACATGGGCGACTGGATCAGCTTTTTCACTTTTGACGTGATTGGGGATCTCGCGCTTGGCGAAACATTCGGTTGCTTGGAAAATGGTGAATACCATGCCTGGGTGCGAAGCTTGTGTACCTTCCTGAAGGGGATGACTTTCGCGGGAGTGGCTAGAATATACCCGTGGGTAGGATCTTTTGTCGAGAGATTTCTCATCCCACGCAGTGTCATGGACCAGCAAAAGCAGCATGTCGAATTTGTGTCGGAAAAGGTCAACCGCCGTCTGAACCTCGAAACCGCCCGCCCCGACTTCATGACGTCGTTCTTGAAGGATAACCGCGATTTCGAGAACATGTCAAGGGGTGAGATTGAATCCAACTTTGCCATTCTTATCATTGCTGGATCAGACACGACTACTATTACAATGTGCGGAACGCTTCATTGCCTAACGAGAAATACTGATAAGCTGGCCATCTTGGAGGACACTATTCGGAATCGGTTCCAGAGCGAAAAGGACATTACTGTTGATGGAACTAAAGATATACCGTACTTGGATGCAGTCATTGAGGAGGGGCTTCGGCTATGTCCTGCAATTCCAGCCCTCCTACCACGTGTTGTCCCTGCCGGCGGCGAGACGTACTCTGGTCATTATCTCCCCGGAGGGGTATGTCATAGTTGATTCTCTTAAGTTTATGTCAAATTCTGACTGTCGCAGACGAAAATATCGGTTAGGCCGGCCATTCTGCATACATCAGCTCGGTATTTTGAAGCACCACACGAGTTTCATCCGGAACGCTGGTTACCCGCAGATCAACGCCCTGGACAATTCGCTAATGACAACCATGCCGCTAGTAGGCCTTTTAGTGTAGGGCCGACGGGATGTGTCGGCAAGGGGCTGGCTTGGGCCGAGTTGAGACTCATTATTGCCAGGCTGGTGTGGGCATTTGATATGTCGGTTGATCCGGACCACGCTCTCGACTGGACCAAGTGGAAAGCTAGAATAGTAGTCGAGAAGGGCCCTCAGTTTCTTCGACTAAAAGAAAGACCTGTATGATTGGATGTAATTTGATATAGTCAGTGCGGCGAGTACGGTTGGGATATTGACTGGGATGTGCCTGTGTTCTACTAGCTTGGTCGATGGTGTAATAAACGGTATGACGTAGTACTATTCTTCCAAATGAAGTGCTACGTCTACAGCCTTGAGAAACTTTCGTTCTATTCCCAAGCTGATGTTGTTTTGGTGTGTCCAGATACTTCGTCCACCAGGTCTACTGAACTTGGCGGGCGACGAAAATCGGCAAGCTGCTATTTCGGTTCTTCCCAGTATGAGAATGCAATTCATCGCAATGTAAGGCCAGGGCAAAATGGGCACTGGTACGCATTACGTACCGGCAGGCAAACTCACAATCGATGATGAAAAGTTTACCGTCGCGTCGTTGGCAGATATTTCGTCGTGTCGAATCCCCGTGAACGAAGCCGGTGTGACCGGGCGGCCGACGTCTTTACCTGCCGAAGAATGTCTGATGAGTTGATATTGGCCCCATTTATATGTGCCCGTAAACTTGAGTGCCTGGAAAGACGTCGTAAACATCCGCCAGATATAGAAGCCATGACAAAATTTTCCAGCGGGGGACCCGTGGCTAAAAAACTTGTTCTTCTCAGAGTTGCTGTTTAGCCTAGCCCTCCTTTGAATGAGAGTTGTCCATTTTTAAAATTCATCAAGTTTCAGACGACTCCTATAGCTCGTCGCTTAGCTTGTGTTGTCTCCCCCTAGCCATTCGTAAACAACCCTCGAGGCAGCAGATTCCTCCCCTTTCCTTACAATAAACCTGATTACCCGGTACCTCTTCTCATCTATTATGCTAAACCCCCAGACCTGCTCTACTGACCAACCGGCTTGTTCACTGACTATGTAGGCTGTGATATGCCCAGCCACGTTTGGATCATCCTCCTCTATCCATCCCTCGGAAAGATACGTGTCGAAGGGCCTGCCGCTCAGGCTCAGCGGTTTCTCTACCCGCAAGTCCACCCAGCCGGCACGGATACGCTGGACGCCGAACATGGCGGAACCTGCCTTGTACTCTCTCTCATCTAGGTTGTATATTTCCGTCTCGCCTTTGATGCCGCCCGATGCGGTTTGTGCCACAGTAATTGTGGTGTTGCCGGCGTTGTCAGTTGACTGAGTCAAGTTTCCGGTAATGGTGGCCCAGGAGATAGCCTTGCGAACGATCCAGGGGATACCTTGGATTGCAAGGGATGGGCTCATGTCATCAGATAGGGTTTTGCTCTATTGGTTTACGTTAGCCTAGGTCCGCAAAAAATTGTTTTTCACAACACTTACCATTCGCCACACACCGGTGAGGTTCCGGATGTTGGTGTCTGGGGGAGCTGCCATAGCGTACTGTGCTTGGCTTCCAACTAGAACAAAGTAGCAATGAATAAAAGAAAAATGGAGAATTTCGTATTATCACTCTAATGTGTGTGTTTATGCATTACAAGCTGGGATTTCACTTGATGCAGGGTCCCGACGTATCACTAGTTCCGGGTACCTGCCTCATTAAATGATACGTGCCAACGCAGTATTATGCTCCATAGCCATAACCAACTACTGGCCCCTGATCGATTGATCCCAGTACTCCGTAACCCCATTGTCAGTTATACCAGTTCATGTCCATTGTCCAAAGAAAAGGGGTGTCAGCAGTAGACCCGACGATAGGTCATGGCGCAAGTGGCGCTGCCGGAACCCTCCGAAAAAAACATGCCGAAAATGCTACGCCCAACACACCGAAGACAAAACAAGGCCCAGCCGAATAAAAAAGCATCCGAATTCGTCGGTACATTAGTACATGTTTCCCCAACTCTGCTGCTTCTTGCCCTTTGAATGAACAGAGTTTGATATCCAATCTTCTGTCGTACTCGCATGTTTTCGCCATCGCCACCCAACCACCACCTCATCTCACTATGCCAGCAGGGACAGCATCGGGCGGCAGCACGGCGACGAGCCAGGAGGCCCGGGATTCGGACGGGCCCACAGGCGGCTCCGAAAGCCCGACTGGTGGCCCCACAACGCCGGCCAAGTCCGCCGGCGCTGCTCCGGCACTGAACAGGGATCTCCGTTTCTGGGCCATCCTCCTGGCCATTGGCTTCTCGGGACTGCTCAGCGCGCTCGAAGCCACCATCACGTCGACGGCACTGCCCACCGTCATCGCCGAGCTGGGGGGCGGCGACCTCTACATCTGGGCCGTCAATGGATACTTCCTGGCCATGTAGGTCAACTCCCGACGACGCGGCCGGCCGGCAAGCGAGCTAACCCGACTCATGCAGGACTTCACTACAGCCCATGTTTGGGCAGTTGGCCAATGTTTTTGGGCGTCGGTGGCCAACCATCTGCGCCACGGCTGCCTTTGTGCTCGGCAGCGGCATCTGCGGCGGTGCCACGGGGATGGGCACGCTCATCGCCGGCCGGGTTGTCCAGGGCATCGGAGCTGGCGGGATCAACGTCCTGGTTGAGATTATCATCTGCGACCTGGTTCCCCTGCGTGAGCGCGGCACCTACTTTGCCATCATCTTTGGCCTCGTTGCCATTGGGACGGCCCTCGGCCCTTTCTTTGGCGGGCTCATTGTTACGTACTCGAGCTGGCGCTGGGTTTTCTACCTCAACCTTCCTGTAGGTGGCCTCGCGCTGCTGCTGCTCCTTGTCTTTCTCAATGTGAAGCACAACAGGGAGAAGACGCTCGCTACCCGCTTGACCACTATTGACTGGGTTGGCAACGTCATCTTTGTAAGCTCCATCTGCTCGATTCTCATTGCCTTGTCCTGGGCGGGCGCCATACATCCCTGGTCATCGTACCAGGTGCTCACTCCCCTCATCGTTGGGTTTGCCGGCCTCGTCGGCTTCGTCTTTTTCGAGGCATCGGCCCTCGCGCCCTATCCAACCGTTCCGCTCCACCTGCTGTCGAATCGAACCAGCGCAATAGTCTTTTTCCTCACCTTGATGCACAGCATCGTCACCATGTGGGCTATCTACTTCCTGCCTATCTACTTCCAAGGCGTCCTCGGCTCCACGCCGTCACGATCGGGGGTGCAGCTACTGCCTACCATCCTCATCCTCATCCCCTTTGCAGCCGCGGGCGGCGCCCTCATGTCCAAGCTGGGCCGCTATCGCCCCATCCATCAGGCGGGCTACGCGCTTATGGTGCTTGGATTCGGCCTGTTCACCATTCTTGATGAGAACTCGAACACGGGCACTTGGGTTGGTCTTCAGATCGTCGAGTCCGCGGGCGCCGGGCTCATTGCTCCAACCTTGCTGCCCGCCGTCATGGCACCGCTGGCCGAGTCCGACACCGCCCTCGCCGCCGCAACCTGGGCCTTTTTTCGATCGTTTGGCCTAACTTGGGGTACGGCCATCCCAGCTGCCATCTTTAACAACCGCTTTGACCAGCTGGCTGAGACCGAAATCACCGACCCAGTCCTCCGGAGCAGGCTGACTGGCGGGAGAGCATACGAGAGTGCCACCGCCGCCTTTCGCAGCACGCTTCCCGAGGCAACTCGCAACGAGTTTACCCGCGTTCTTGAAATGAGTCTGCAACGCACTTGGCAGGTTGCAATAGGTTTTGCGGCACTAGGCTTTCTACTTGTCTTCCTTGAGAAAGAGGTGCATCTCCGGCAAGAACTAGAGACTGAATTTGGCATGGTTGACAAGAAGAATGGTGAGGAGAATGTAGAGGAGGCAAAGGAAGTCAAGGATCCAGATCCGCAGAAGCAAAACACTACCTGAGTTATATTCAGCGCAGTTGGACGAAGGAAATACCGCCAAATGTCGTTTTACATGGGCAAGACATTTTTATCTAGCGTCTTGCATAGGTAAACACAATTTCCAAGCCAGGTAGATTGCCATTTTTCTTAATACTGCGGGAGGATGGGAACATCAATAGCAGTAATTGTATCCTGGACGACACAAAAGCTCCATGCTGACATCTTGTCATGATTGCTTGCTAAATAAAACCAAACTTCCCATCCGCCCTATAACCTCTACAATTTAGTAAGGGCACGAGGATCAAACTAGTGCTAGTAGCTGCCGCTGCAACCCTGCAGCTACATTCAAGTTGCTAGCTATACCGTAGACTACGCTCAGCCACCCAAACAAGTTTGGGAAGCGCAGCCTTCTCGCATTAGCGTCTACAAACTCCATGTTTTATCTTTGCTCCTCTGTTCATGACTCGCGTTTCCATTCTTCCAACATTGGCTTTGGCTGATTGAGGCCGAGTGTACGTGGGTGGCTATGAGCGGCTACAAATAAAACGAAGAGCACTCACCACATAGATCCGACGTGCGAGTAACGCATGCTGAGTAGGCACTTCGCCATGGTGGTAAGAATCAGGTCTATTAGAAGCAGTGATTTAGCGCGCTAAAGAATCATTCTGTGGGATACAAGCGATGTCTGCGTGGAAGCCCCGATTGGATGGTGTTTCAAAATAAGAAACCCTCCGAAAGTGCACTGCTCTCCGGATCAGACGATGCCCTGCACTCGCACCGTTGAGATCGATTCGGCTCAGAGGGTTCATGCCGAAACTCAGCAACCGACTACAGCAACTCCCAGCCCCGTATTAAGTAGCATATCAGCCTGTGTGGCAAAATGAGCCTAAACAGTTAATACCCAAATCCCCAGAGGGCTCTAGGCCGCACGAACGGTAGTATAGGAGGCCCCCGACCTATTCGTATAGTAGAAGTTCTCTACACCTATAGAAGACCCAAAAAGACATGTACAGCTTTTTGCAAAGTAGTTTCCTCGACTTCGAGCTAACCCGCTTGCTGGGCAGCACCGGCTCTGGCGGCTGTGATGTTGCCGAATTTCTCGAAGCAGTGGGCAAGATCAAAAAGAATGACCCGGAAAGCTGGTTCTCCGCCTGGCATGAGCAGTCCCGTCGAGCAGAGCGGATTGCACGCGAAGCCGCCCAACACGGCCACGCCTCCGCCGCGCAGAGAGGCTTCCTTCGCTCGTCAAACTATGCCCGTGCGAGCGGGTACATGTTCATGGCCGGTGATGAACGCGTGTTGGAAACGGCAGAGCGCGCCGTTTCCTTGTTCAGGGAAGCTTTTGTCCACATGGACGGCCAGGTTATTGTTTTGGACATGCCGTATCGGGATGACGTCTCCATGCCCGGATACCTGTATCTGCCGCCAGAGTCGAGGCGCATGCCGGGCAGCAAGACGCCAGTCGTCGTCAATTGCTGCGGAGCCGACTCGACGCAAGAGGAGTTGTATTTCGCTCTGGTATGCGCAGGGGTTGAGCTTGGCTACGCGGTTGTGACGTTTGAGGGACCGGGTCAAGGCATGCTGCTTAAAAGGGACAAGGTTTCCGCGCGAGGAGACTATGAACTTGTGACTTGCAAAGTTCTGGATTATCTACAACGTATTTCGGAACAAAAGCTGGAATGGGGGCTGGATCTCGATCGCATCGGCGTCGCGGGGGCTTCGATGGGAGCGTACTACTCCCTCCGAGCCTGTGTCGACCCTCGTATCAAGGCCTGTGTTGCCATTGATGGGTTTTACAGCTTGTGGGCGGTAGCCATGGAGAGGATGCCAGGCTGGTACTCGTCTCTGTGGTTGTCAGGATGGCTGCCCGAGTGGCTGTTTGACGCCTTGATCCGCTTCGGCATGAGGATGGACTTCACCACGCGCTGGGAGTTTGGTCTGGGTATGGCCATGATGGGTACTGCGACACCGGGGAATACACTGCGGCGGTTTCGGGAATTCTCACTCGACCGCGAGGGAGACGAACCGGTCGCAGATCGCATTAAGTGCCCTGTCCTACTGACTGGTGCTTCAAGATCGCTTTATGCCAGCGCACAAGATGGCACCGTCGCTGTTTATAATGCACTGAGAAGGGTACCCGAGAATGAAAAGGAGGTTTGGATACCGTCGAGTATCGGGGAAGGGGGAATGACTGGAAAGGTTGGGGCTTGGGCATTGCTTGCGCAGAAGAGTTTTCAATTCTTCGACAAGCATCTTCGAGTGCATCGAGATGTAGCTGTATCTGGTGTGATATCACAGGGGCATGCATGAGAAAATTAAAGTGAAGCATGAACATGATTCGGTTGCACGATTATGTATCTTAAAAGCCAATGCTTGAACTACCTCTCACACTCCCATCCAGTCCAAATAAGAGCAAAGAAAGTCCCAGGTTCAGATTATGTTTTGATATATGCTTGACAAAGTAGAAGTTGCAAGCACACACTTAGCCATCATCCCTCCCCCACCTCACGCTTGATCAATTTCTGGAAAACAACATCCAGGTCCATTTCGTCAATGGCAGCAAGGTATGCTGCAATCAACACATTCATCTCCAACCCAACTGCCAACTCGGTCCAGTCCGACAAGCTCAGCTCCCTATACTCGATTCCATCCTCCTCCTGCATGTGCTGTCTAAGCCGGTCAATGGGAATGATCACGTCCCCGGAATGATGTAGATACTTGAGCTTCGTCTCCTGATCAGATCCCGTCACTACTCGGACTATGCCTTTGGCCGCATTCTGCACACTGATGAAGTCGAGTGATCCACGCCATCGTGACGAGGTCGGTACGGCCTTGAGCTGTCGAGAGAATTTGATGACACTGTTCACCACATCCAGTTCGCTTGCGGCTGGGCCCGTGATACTGCTCGGACGATGGATACAAACGGGCAACCCGAGACGCTCATGGACCTTCTCTAGGAAGACTTCACTGGCCCATTTTCCAGCCACATACCCGTCTGAATATCCCGGAGGAGGCATATTCTCGGCCAGCGAAACCTCATACAAGGTATCCAGGTTGTTCAGACGGCCCGTGGCTGTGGTGGAAATGTAGTGGAACGGCACATTATGGACGAGAGCGAGCCTGGCGAGCTCCTTGGTGGCCTCGACATTGGCTGGTCGGAGCGTTTGGTATGTCTTCAGGAAGGACACATCAGCACCGCTGTGGACAATGGCATCAGCCTCGCCAAATATGGCCTCTGCAGCTTGTACCGAGAGTCCTGCTCGCGGAGCACTGAGATCGCCCTGGTGGAGTGTGACCTTGGGCGAGCCGAGAAACAAACCTAGCTTTGCCTGACTGCGGACTGCAATGCAGTGAACCTTGGTCACGCTGGGGGACTCGACGAGTTCCTTGAGCAACTCCAGCCCTAGAAATCCCGTGGCGCCCGTCATGATTATGACGCCCCTTGTCGACTTGGTTGCGGCGGGGATAAAGGGGCCGGCATCCACCACGTGCTTGGTCAAGGCTGTTTCCTCCGTCCAGTCCGTCTCCGCGGCTTCAAGATAGGTGGCGTCTGTGATGACGGCCGCCATGGCCCGGAGAGTGCTCTGCTCGAAGAGAGTGGCCACCGGAAGGGCTACTCCGAACCGCGTCTTGATCAAGTGCTGCAGCTTGATGAGCAACAATGAGTTACCGCCCACATGGAAGAAGTTGCTGCCCCGGTCGACGGTGTAGTGTTGCAGGACTTCTTCTGAAATCACCTCCTCCCACGCCTCGCGAAGTTGGCGCTCGACGTTCCCAAGCTTGGCCGCCCCTGTAGCTCGCTCAGTGCCGTTTGAAACCTGCAGCTTCTCAATAGCTGCCCGGTCAAGCTTCCCGTTGCTGGTCAGGGGTAAATCCTTGATTGGGATTATAATTGCAGGATGCATGTACCGTGGTAGAGGTAGTGAGACCGCCAGCCGCTGCAGAAACTGGGTTTGGTCCTCGACTTCGGCATCTTTTGCAAAGACTGCGTGAGCTACGAGGATGGGAGCATCTCCCCGGGGCGTGACGGCGGCGTTGGCAAGGGCTCCATTAGAAACTCGCACGATGGTGCTCTCTATATCCTGCAGTTCGATGCGAACGCCCCGAATCTTGACCTGAGAGTCGCCGTTGACCCGACCAAGCACTTCTAGAGAGCCTCGTTCCAGTATTCGACCCTTGTCACCAGTTCGATACATCCTAGTCCAGCCATTCTTCTCGAAAACGGCCGGAGGCACCGGGTTGGTGACAAACGCCTGCCTGGTAAGCAAATCGTTGTTGACGTATCCCATGGCCACCCCAGCACCGCTGATGCAAATCTCGCCCGTTGCACCTCTCGGAAGCGGCTTCAAATCCTCGTCGACAATGTGCACTGCTCGGTTCACCAATGCCGGCCCGGCGAGAATTCTGTCCACAACACCTTCTCCAAGAGGAATCTCTTGAGCGTTTGATCCCATTGTTGCCTCGCTTGGCCCGTATGAATTCCATAGATGCAGTTCGGGAAGACCGAGCTTGCCAAAGTCCTCAATCAACTTTCTGGGACACGGCTCGCCGCACGACATGGCATACTTCCAGCTCGTAGACTGGCTGAGATTCGAAAAGCCATATTGGATCCAGCCAAGATACTCGGATGGGGTTGCGCCGACATAGGTGATCTTCTCTTGGGCAATGAGTTTTGTAATGGCAACCGAATCGCCTCTGAGAGGACGCGGGACAATTACAATAGATCCTCCGTAGACGAGAGTAACCAGTGACTGCCAGAGCCCCAGGTCAAAACCCAGCGCACTATGCTGCAGCACAATCTCCTGGCCTGACATGTTCTCCCATTCGAGATAGTTGCGCAGCCCATTATGGGAGAGCACAACGCCTTTTGGAATGCCGGTAGTTCCACTCGTGTATAGAATGACGGCGGCATCCTCGGACTTTGCCTTGACGGGCACTTTATTCCCGCCCGACTCTGAGATGTCCGCTGTGCTGATAATGAGTGCTTCTTGTCGCAGGTTGAGGCCCGTAGTTTGAGGGAAAGTAGCCTCGTCAACAATCACGGCAACGGGCTGGCAGTCGTTTACCATGCTGGCAAGTCGAGGTACAGGCGTGCTGGTGTCTAGAGGAATGTAAGTTGCCCCAACACGCAGGATCGCCAGCATGGAGCAGATCCAATCTGGACCAGCCTCCTGGAAAACTCCTACAATCGATTTGGGAGACAGTTCAAGGTTGATTAACGCCGAGGCAATGGAGTTGACCCGGACTGCCATTTGTCTGTAGTTCCACACGTCATTTCCATGTTTGAGCGCAACACTGGTAGGATAGTTCTCAGTCATGTCATCAATTCGATGAACCAGCGTCTCCGGCCATTGTGACTCGCAAACCGGCCCTAAAATGATGTTCATTAGCGTCTTTGTGATTACGGGGGGCCGTAACTGTTCAGATGGCTGTACTAACCAATGCCTAACAGGCCATCGTCATAAGTGCTCTCGTCAAAGCCAACTGTTGGCTCACTCAACGATGCATCCGGATTGGCGGAGAAGAAGTTCATCAAATGAAAATAGGAATCCGTCAAGATAGTAGCGTCCTCAACCGAATACAGCTGCTTCTGGACAACAATATCAATTCTCGTGCTTGCACCAGGGTTGTCATAGATGTCGAGGCAGATATCATAAGCCGTTCTCCCAGCGACCGTCTCTCCAGCCTCGGCTGCAAGCCCACCAAAGGTTCGCTTCTCAGCAACGCCGGCACGATAGTTGATAAACGCTTGAAATAGAGGAGAATGAAATATAGATCGATTTACTTTCAGATCATCCAGCAGTGCATCGAATGGCAGCTTAGAGTGGGCCATTGCCTCGTATGCGTTGCGTCTGGTCTCCTTCAGGACGTCGCGAAAGGACTGGCTGGGCTTAAGGTGAGCCACCAGTGGGATCAGGTTCAGATACATGCCAATGCTCCCCGAAAGGTTGCCTTCGAAACGGTTGGCATCAGCCATGCCGATGCACATGTCTGGCGCGTCTAGCAACCGATACAACATCACTTCAAAGACAGCGAGGTAGAAGTGGAAGATGCTTGCTCTCTGTTTACGGCACATATGGTTGATCCTTGAGGAAAGATCTGCCTCGATATACCTGGTCACTTTGGTATGCTCGTACCGACGAATGGGTTCGCGAGACTTTGTTAGCGACCATGGAAGGATGGGCAGGCACGTAGGGCATTCGTCCAGCTTGGCTTTCCAAAAGTCGAGCTCTCGGCTATGCTTACCCTCTTTACGCTCCAGACTCTGCCTCAGTGAGAAGTCTGGATACTGGAGAGGGTTTGGGGCTAGTGGTTTTCCAGTGTACGCCTTCTCGAGGTCTGCAAGAAAGACTTCCAAGCTGGCACCATCCATGTTGATGTGATGGTACCCGATGATGAGAAAACTCTGCTCTGAGCTTAGCGAAAGGAGAAGCATCCTCATCGTCTCGCCGTGTTGAATATCGTAGATGTAGTCCCTCAGGTCTGCAAACTCTCGCGCAACTTGAGATATATCTCGTATTGTCCTCTTTTCAAGACAAAGAAGGGAATTTTTGAGGACACACTGTAAATTCTGGTCTCCTTGGGTGATAAAGGCGGTTCGCAATGCTTCATGGCGATGACCCAATACTTTTACGGCCGCCTCAAGCTTGTGGTCGTTCAACTCTCCATTTATCTTCATGGAAAATGTGATGTTGAAAGTAGTTTGGTCTTGCACGAAATGTTTCAAGAACCAGAATCTAGACTGGCCCGCCGACATGGGCACCGACCTTTCAACCTCATGTGTGAATGCTGGCTTGTGTTCGAAGGAACGCGACTTTAGCCCTGCATCCCCAGGTTCACTCTCGCTTTCCGGCAGTGGGCTTTCAGACGAGGAGCTGGCTATAGACGACTCTGCAGACCTGGAGAGGTTGTCAATGCTTGCCAGGACAGAGCCATTTGAGCCCGACGATGCCACCAAGGGCGTGAGCTGCGTTTTTTGCAGCTCCGACTCATTGGAAGCCATTGGCTGGGTTTCCACAGCTGCTAGCTTTGGAATTAGTTCGGAAGGGATGTTCTCAAGCGCAAAAGTAATCAAGTCCGCGAGAGAGGCGCCGCCCAGGATCTTCAATACTGGCATATCGACATCCATTTCCCTGAGGAACCAAGAGCGTATTTCCACTGCAACGAGGGAATCAATCCCAAGATCATCCGCGTTCATATTCGACATGTTGAATTCCTCAGAATTTTCGTCCAGTTGAAGCTGCAAGGCGGCCTGGAGCTTGCCAACAAAGCCATCTGATATGAATCAGTATGTAGTTCGCATCTAGCTGATTGGAGAATGTCTCAGCAAAGTACTTGCCTTGTATAATTTGCGACATCTCCTCCAAGTTTCTGACTTCAAACAGCCGGGCCCTGACGGGGACAGCAGCATTTTGCATCGTCTTCTTCAAGTTTCCATCACTACCCCAGTTTATATAATGCTGGAAGCGAGGGTTCCTAATCCAAGGCACAGGTTCTGCATCATCAGCATTAATCATTCGCAAGCCTGTGATGATTTCCGGGTTTCGTCCGGCCTGTGGCCTTCCAGCAAGAATTGCCTCGGCAATGCATTGATGGAATGCGCGCTCCTCCATCCACATGAATCCTCCGCGGAGGATAGTGGGAAGAACAGTCTCATCGAACTCTCGCATGATATATCCAACGCCCAGGACGGCGCCGAGATGTAGGACCGAGGCTGCAAGACCTTGACGGCGGCGTTCCATGGCGGTAGCGACCATGAACATGTTTGCGGCGCTGTAGTTGGACTGACCGCGGTTACCTGCTGCGGCCGCTATGGAGGAAAACATGACAAAGAAGTCCAGACTATCATCACGAAATAGCCGGTCCAGGTGCATCGTTCCTAGTACCTTGGGTCTCAAGACTTTTTCCATAATCTCGAATGACATCTCCGAAAATGGGACATCTTGAAGCACCATTGCGCCATTCATAATGCCGCCAATCGGGGGGAATTCTCGACGGATCGTTGCGACGAGCTCCTCAACAGCAGTTTGATCCGTGATGTCGCTAATTTTTTCGTCAGCTTGTGCTCTGATTCCGTTCAAAGTGTGCAAGATTGTCTCTCTTACTTGGAAAATACTTTGACATGTACTCCTGCCCTCGAAATCTCTTCAAGCCACCTCTCATCAATGTTCGGGTTCCGACTGGTGAGAACAATGGTTCGAGCGCCCCTGGAGGACATCCAGTCGCATAACGAAGTCGCCAGATCACTTGTTAACCCGAACAAAACGTATGTTTTATTCTCGTCAAATCGGATCTGATCATTGACCGATGTGAGCCTCACAGGCACCAAGGCAGTGGCCTTCCAGTCGACAATGGTGCCAGCTTCATAAGAACCACCCATCGCTACCACATCTCTCGGGTTTGCAATGGTGACAGTAATGGGGGTTAATGGGGAGTAATGCGAAATAACACGCCGAAGGAGATCCGACAAGCTATCGTTCCCAGGGGTCTTGGTGCCAGAATACATGTGTTGAATGGCTGACAGGCTCGTACGCCAGCAGTGGTCCGGAAGGCAGGGCTCTACTAGTCTCGCAACTCCCTCAGGGTCTGAAGAGCAATCTATAAACGCAGAGATGTTTGTAGGCAAGGCTGACTTTATAAGCCTTTTCGGTGAAGCATTGTTCACTCTCAGTTGCGGCAGAGCGGCGACGGCAGACGCGGCGGCGGACTCGGTGAAAAATACATGTATGCCCTTTTCAAAGGCCCGCTCATGCAGCATTTGTGCAAGAATTGGAGTAGGTTCGTTGATAACCACCGTGGAACCGGGCTCCAGTACATCTAAAACCTGGCTCACTTGGACCTCGAGGCGTAGAAGGCCTAGCAATCGGGCCTCGTCGCCTGCGGTGACGGAGAGCTCTACCATATGTTCAGCCTGTACAGCGACCATGGAACCATTGACGGCTGAGAAGCACATGACAGACTTTCCAGTTAGCTCATTCTTCCCAAAGATGCCGTGGAGATTGCCCAGTATTGGAAGCAGCGTCGCTTTCTTTACATGAATCATGACCTCGCCTGAAGAAATGTTGATGTTGCTGTCATAGATGCTGTAGCCTGCACTTGACCGGTGTAATCTGAGTGAAGTCGATCCTGGATCAATATCATCTGTTATGACCCTATTTGCGGCATTGTGTCGACGGTTGGCATCCTTATCAGCAATCAGTCGGGGGATCATGACTCGATCATTCTCCTGGACCATCTCTTGCTCAACCGACCATAGAATCCCCTCGGTGTCAGTGAAGTTGAGTCTTAATAGAGTCTCTGCCACAAGTCTAGCGTCGGGCTTGCGGGAATTGTCAATGTCAAGGAACTGCAGCCGAACATCTGGGAATTCGAGTGCGAGACTGCGCCCCAGCCCAACACTCATGTTCATGTAAGGCTGGTCGGCTTGGCATCCCTGAGTCACCCATAGTATGGTTCTCTGGTAGTCGAACAGACTTTGCAGCCCGCTCATTCTCTCACTCGAAAAATGACAAAAGATGGGAGAGTCCAGTTCCGTTACACAGAGAACGAGTGCCGTTGCAGGGATGGCAGACGCGGCCAGGTCCTCCAATGATGCACAGTGTATGATGGAGAAGTCAAGAGGCTGGATGAGTTGCAAAAGACTGTCAACCAAGACCTTGGTGGTTAAAGTTGCACCACCAATAATGACAAGATCCCGGTTAGATTTCTCTCGCAAGAAGGAGCCATAGTGGCGCAAAGGGTCTCGTATTGCCTTTGTGCCCTCATCGATGGCCTGTGTGACGAGAACGGAAAAGGGTCGGGCGAGCGTATCAACTTCGGGAGTTGAAGTGTCAATGCCGGAGAAGCCTGTTTCTATCATTATGCTGTGCCAGGCCAGTGAGGAGACGCACGGAGAGAACTTTCGATCATCGTCTTGTCCTAGCCACCAGCCGGGCAGGCCGCTCATCGCAAAGCCTACCCAGACAACATCATTGCTTGTGAGCTCAAGAATCACGAGATATCCCCCTGGTCTGAGTAGACGACGCGTGTTTGTCAGTGTCTTTTGCAAATCTCGGGTGGCGTGTAGGACCAAGGAGGCAATGACTAGGTCGTAGGAATACTCCTCGTAGCCTTGCTCTACCACATCCTTTTCGCAATCAAGGACCTTGAAAGTCATTTTTTCTGATTCATATTGAGCGGCAAATACCTCACGAGCCTTTTCGAAAAACCCGCTGGAAACATCAGTGAAGGTGTAGGAAGCGAAAGACCGCCCGATATCTCGCATGATGGTCTTTGTGGCTCCTCCAGTACCGGCGCCGATCTCCAAAATGTCCATGTGAGGATAACGATGGGCAATCTGGGCTATTACTCTAGAAAGAAAGCTGGTGGCATCTTTAAGCCCCATGGCCTCAACATAGTACCGGTTAAGCAAGTCATCGTCTAGCATGTGCTGGAGGATTTCTGTTTCGCCTCGCACTGCGGCAGTGAGGTGCTCGCCCACTGTACGAGTTAGTTTGATCTCAATGCTGTCAGGGTATCTGAATCATTGTGAGCTTATACTTGAATTATCATGAATTTGTAGTAGAAAATACCATACCTATCCATAATTTGTGCGATATCTTCCCATGTATCATTGAGCCACTCTCTCTCCGTAAATCGCTGCCTTCCAATCCGACTCTGATGGATGACATGACCGAAGCAGTCAAACATGGCCTTGTGATGCCAAGATAGAGTGTCGCGCTTGTCTTCTGGAGTATCTCTGCTAACTTGGTTCATGTAATAGAGTGAAATTCTTTCTAAATCAGCGGCAAGCTGTACGTCCTCAGCTGAAGCACGATTATCTGCTGCCAAAAATCCGTCGGGTAGTGCCGGAGCCCATATGTGTTTGCAGAATAATTGTCGGTCTTTTTCAGGGCTTCGTTCCGACAGTGGTGTCACCTTTATCCCTTGGACTTGGAGTAGCAAGCCGGACTGCGGATTGGGGACAAATACATCAACATCTCCCTCTATGCCACCAGTGATTAGCGGATTCTGTGTTAAGCGAGACACGATTGGTATTTTATTGCCGGGAACCAGGTTCAGTTGGCAGTGTTGTGCGTTGACTCGGATGCTGGATATTTTTGTTGGAACATGTAGTTGATCCAGGCTGCCATCACCGGGCCACCAATATGCAAGAAGGATGCACTGGAAGGCGGCGTCGAGAAGAGCAGGGTGGACGAGGACAGAGTCGGCTACTTCTTGCGACGGGACCCTAGCGATTGCCTCTCCGTAGCCGAGCTTTCGTTTCATGGACTGCAGGGATCTGAACTCGCGGGTGTAGTGGTAACCAAGCTTTTCGAGAGATGAGTAGAAATTATCCTGTGTTACGTCTAACAAATACGGCGGTTTTGTGTTTCTCAGCTGGCGGTCAAGCTCGTCGACTGACCTAGAGATACCAATCGAGACAATCAGTCTCCCAGTTGCGAGACAGGCCAATGTATCGGACTTGGAACTGGTAGAAGCATGAAATTTGAATGTGGCAGAGATCTGATCCGGAATCTTTCTATCAATATCTGATAGCGCAAATAATGATTCGGCCTCGGAACTCTCGTCTTGAAACACGAGCGCTTTGCGAATAACAAAATCATGGATGTCAATAACGCTAATTGTTTCACCTGCTCCAAGGAAGCGTGCTGACTCTATGGCAGAAGAGATGTAAGCAGCAGCCGGGTATACCATTTGCCCTTGTACCTGGTGCCCGTGAATCCAAGCGAGTTCGCTAGGTCGGATAAGGTTCCGCCAACGAATCTCGTCATCCAACCCATCCGGCAGACGGGTTCCAAGAAGCGAATGCGGGGAGTCGTTGCGGTCATTATAAGCCCTCAAGAGGCGAGTTTCGTGCCAGAAAATGCGATCGTGATCCCATGGGTAAGTCGGCAGTGAAGGAACAAGATTCCACCCGTCATCTCCCGAAAGCAACACGTCGACGGCGTTGAAGTTTATGAACGGGGTGGAGAAATGAGACCACATGTAACCAAGTGCAGCAGATAACGCTTCAATGTCGTCTATGTTGCGCTGCAAAACGCCCGTGTATGCGGGTGCTTTGTCATGGGAACTTCGCCACGTCTCAAGAACAGGCCCCTTTAAAGCAGGATGAGGACCGACTTCAACAACAAGGTTCAAACCATCCTCGTTTTTCAGCGCAGTCCGAATAGCCTGATAAAATAAAACAGGCTGGAGCATATTTTCCTTCCAGTACTCGGCTCCCAAAGCGTCACTTGCAGTTATGACAGTATTTTTGCTCACGCTCGAATACCATCGGCAGCCTTTCCTCCCCTGACGAGGTTGGATGCTGCAAGCGCGCAAGGCTTCGACATATCCAGCAGATTTAGGAATCATATGGTGCGAGTGATATGCCTGGTCGACATTTAGCCGTCTTGAAAACTTGTTTTCATCTTCAAACAGCACCTTGGCCTCTTCAATCGCGTCTTCATCTCCGGAGAGGGTCACGCTCAACGGGGAGTTGCAAGCGGCCAGGCAGACGCGGTCTTTATACTTGCCCAAATTGCAGACCTCTTCGGCATCCTCCACAGTCGTGCCGACAGCCAGCATGGCTCCCTTCTTATGACATGTTGAGCTAGACACACAGAGTCCGCGATAATATGCAATTTTAAGTGCGTCTTCCCGGGAAATGAAGCCCGCAGCGTATGCCGCCGCAATCTCTCCGGAGGAATGGCCCACCACCGCTTGGAACTCGACTCCGCTAGCTCGTAGGATATCTACAAGAGTGATTTGAACAGCAGTGCAGAGTGTCTGGGATATGACTGCTTCGCCGATGCGAGATCTCGTAGCATCGGCTGCCAACTCTTCGACCAGTGACCAAGAGGGCTGGTGGTCTTTTGGCAAGCTGTTGAGAACGTGTTGGAAACCATCCCAGGACTCCCTCAACTTCTCGGATCCCAAGATGATCTCTCGACCCATGGTGGCCCACTGAGCACCCTGCCCTGTAAAGACTCCAAGGACACGGGGTTGAGACGGCGCTGGCCTTACGCCAATGCCTGTCGCTCCTACTCCCTCGTTGGCTTGTATATAGTTGTCTATGTTGGAGGCCAGTCTATCATAAGGCGTAGACGGAAATGATGCCCTGACACCCAGTGCTGACCGTCTTGAGTGCAAGGTATAAGAAAGATCGCGGTGCGAGACCGATGGGTTGGCTTTGAGATGTGCCAAGTAGGCTTTAAGCATTTTTGTAAGGGCCGCCTCCGACCCGGCAGAGAACACATATGGAGTGAATACTCTCGAATTGAAACTATGGGAAGTTCGGACTGGCTCGTTGTCGAAGCTTTCGAGGATGGCGTGGGAGTTGGTGCCACCGAAACCAAAGCTGTTGACGCTCGCACGTCGTGGCCCGGACGTCTTTGGCCACGGCTTTGCCCTTGTGGCAACCTCCAGGTTGCTATAAAACGGCGCAACATCTGCACTGAGATTGTCGAATAGCATATTTGGCGGAATAGTCCCATTTTGTAACGCCAGTGATGCCTTTAATAGTCCAGCTAAGCCTGCCGTTCCCTCGGTATGGCCGAGTACCGTTTTAATAGACCCAACATAGAGAGGAGTATTTGGTGAAGAGCTTGTCTCATCGAGCCCAAAGAAGGCCCTTTTGATACCCTCGGCCTCCTTACTTAGTCTGTTAGATGTGTCTTGATGTCAATGGAAGAGATCACTTACGCATGCGTCGCCAGCCGTAGTTCCAGTCCCATGGGCCTCAAAATATTGACAACGTTGACCCGGATCCTCTGGGTCTAACCCTGTTTTTCGATAAGTTCTTGCAATTAATTCAGCCTGTGCTAGTGGGTTTGGCATGGTGATTCCTTTAGTTCGTCCATCCGAGTTAACACCTGACTCGCGAACAATACACTCGACGTGGTCGCCGTCCCGAATTACGTCGCTAAGACGCTTTAAAATAACAGAGGTAATACCCTCTCCGCGGGCATAGCCATCCGCATTAGCATCCCACATACGCGACCGACTTCCCGGTGACAGCATCTTAAGCTTCGCCTCCCCAATATATTGCTCTGGGCCAAGGATGAGATTAGCACCAGCGGCGACGGCAAGATCAGACTCGCCGCTGCGAAGGAGTTGGACCGCCTGGTGGACAGCTACCAAGCTGGAGGAGCATGCAGTGTCAATGGTCATGGAAGGCCCGTGCCAATCAAAGAAGTAGGATATTCGATTAGATATTATGCTGCGAGCGGTGCCGGTCCCCATGTATGTTGGCGTCGCGTCGACGTCGCGCTGCAAATGGTTGGCAAAGTCGGCACACATCAGGCCCACGTAGACTCCCGTCTGCGACCCGACAAGAGACTCGAAAGGCAGTCCGGCAGCTTCAAGAGATTCATAGACGACCTCCATGAGCAGTCGCTGTTGTGGGTCAACGGAATGTGCCTCTATGGGCTTGATATTGAAGAATGCCGCATCAAAAAGCCGCGGATCCTCGGCCAGCATGTACGATTCTGTAACGTTTGAGGTACCATGATGCAATCCATTGGGGTGATAGAACGCATCAACGTTGAACCTGTTCCTCGGGATCTTGGTCAGTAGGTCCTTTGGTTCTTTCAGGACCTCCCAGAGCTTCGAAGGTGTATCAAGGGACCCTGAAAACCGACAGGCGCTTCCAATAATAGCAATGGGCTCGTTTCCAGATGAGCCGTATTGAACACTGTCCATGAATGATTGTATGTACGGTTTGTTATATGAGTAAGGCTGTGCTATAAGCAGAATTGTTGAAAATTCTTTACTAGGAAGTCCGGTTGTCAATTCGGTTAGTTTGCAACTTGGCGACTGAAGACGTCCCAGTACAAATTTTCAACAAGTTAAGGGGGGAGTATCGTCCTATATTATGACTTCCTACAAGTCTATTTAACACGTTTTTGGTATCCAGTAATATGAAGCCAGCCATCGTCACAATAGCTTGACCAATATGACAAGTTGAGACCTTCAATTCAACCAATGAATTCACATCATCAGTAGCCTACTCTGATTTCCCGAACCAGTATTGGCATACCAAGAGAAATCTTTACGAACAATAGATCTTCGCCTCCCAGGCAGAATATCCCAGCCATCATAAATTTCTCCGAGAATTTTCGGAGTATTCGAGGTTCGGTCCGTTTAAATTCTAAAAGGAAAATCCCTCCGTATCGTCAGGTCGGGGGTCATTTTCGGAGATACTGTGGCTTTAGGGAATGACTGGTCGGACTGCCTCATGTCTCTCTAAAGGGAAACAAGTGGTCTGGTTTTTTATTAGACACCTGGAGGCATAACGTGAGTTGTGAGAAATCCATACAATTAAATTGAGGGAAAAGTTAAGAGGTCATATAGGCCATGTCTAAGTAACCGTAAATTGGCCTCCAATGATGCCTTGACACATCCTGACTTCTTTGATGGTTGATTGATAATATAATTCGGTTGGTTGGCCAGTCTCATGACCACTAGCTAGCAAGCTTAAATTGGAGCTTTACTGCATGTATTACCCAGTCTATCAATTTGTGATACTTCGTATGATGCCCCTCACGTCATCTTAAATGAATGTTGATCCTTTATCCTGCGCGGTTCACACCCTAGACCCCGTCCCACGACAAAACTCTCGTCACCAGGTTGAACAGCACGTGTTTCCATTCACCCAACAAACCAATCCCGTAAACGAGCCAGATTTGCCACTGCTTGATCTTCTCAGGCAATGCCGACTGCTCAGCGAACCCAGTCCCTTGATACTGTTCGCCCGTGACTTCGCCACCACTGACTCGGGCCGTGAAGCCACTCAGCCCGAGCCCGCCCCCAAGGCCCATGTTGAACTTGACCCGATTATGTTCAACTTTGAACCGCCAGGTTTTGCCCTTTTGCGGGGACACAAACTCGATAAAATGGCCCGTAGACCGATCTGCCAGACTGCCCGAGACATTTCCAGAAAAGTCGTTGGTGAAAAGAACGTAGTCATCCGTGTCGGAAACCTCGCCCTTTGCCGTACCAACAAGTAGCTCACCGTCCTTGAAAAGCTGAGCAGAGCAATATGGCACCCCCTTGTTCAGGCGAGAGACAGGCCTCCAATACGCCATGTAGTAGGGTCCCGCAAAGCCGCGGATGATGTTCCACGCGTCGCACACTTTAAACCAGCTATCTTTGGCCCAAACTCTCCCGTGGCCTCCGTGGCCAGCGAAGTTCAAGCTAGTTTTGCCCAGCGTGTACTCAACAACCACCCGGCCGCCGGCAATGGGTTGATTCAGGAACAGTGATGGAGACATTTGCACGCTCCCATTCTCGTCGGGCCACAGCTTTCCATCAGCCAAATGTGGCAGCGTGTCCGACTCAATGGCAAAGTTGCCCTTGGACCGGGGCGTAGACCACCATACTCGGGCGCGGCTCATGTTTTTCGGCACCTGGAAACCGTAGGTGTGACCGGTGCTGTTCCAGATGCCCGTTACCGAGTCTTGGCAGGTGATGACTGTAGACCGCTCAAGGAAGTCGAGCTCCTGGATAATTGTCCCGTCGTCAAGGATCATGTAGAACTCGACGCGCAGGTTGCCCTGGCCGAAGAAGTGGTACGACGCATCGCGTGAAAAGGCCAAAATAATTCCTGACATTCCAGAGTCGGCGGTTCCGTCAAACTCCCATTGTTCCCATGCCGTGGCGTTGATGGTGGAGAGCTTTGGTGTCTCGAGATGCTCTGTGGGTGACTCTGAAAATTCGACGGGCCCTTCTGTTTGCTCAAACGCCGTGCTGCGGCTTACTTGGCATGGTGACGGGTATTGGCCATGAGAATTCAAACTGCTTTGCCAGTCTTTGGAAAAGAGTGTGTCTAGTGGTATTTGATCCAACTGCCCAGACACCGTGTTGGCCAGCCATGCGGCGACAATGAGCGAGGTCCAGGACGTCAAACGCAGCTTCATTGCTGGAAATGGATGAAGCCTAGGGAAGAGAGAGTTACTTGGCAACTCAGAAAGGCTGTAGCCGGCTTTCGCAGACGGATAAATTGGATAGAAGGTTGGAAGAGGGCAACTCGGCCTTGTTCAACGAACAAGGAAGATGGACGATTTTGGCCTGGCTGGGGGTACCTATGTTGCAGCACAAGACCCGACAGTGACCCAACGACACGCTCCGTTCCGGAATACCACAAGGGAGTACATTAACATGTCTGGTGGGTTGACAGGGACCAAGTGCCCGAGTCGGAGTGGCCGTAGCCCCCAACGGCCTCGCGGGCCGGACCACGCATCGGAGCCGACTCCAAACCCTCCGAAACATGCCGGCCGAACTCCGGGCTGCCCCCAACTACGCCAAGTCATAAGATTTTAGCATGTTCCAAAAAGGGACATGCCGAGGGTCCTATTTAGCAGAAGAATAACATGCTCTGCAGCCAACACCAGCCCAGACGCAGCAAATTGACACACATTTCTGAAGAAACATTGCCCTCAATACATACAATTCTACCAGTCATATGCCCGCGTCATGACGCAAAGGCCTACTCCCCGGCTCAACCGGGCCATTATCCAGTCAGAGCATGGCGGCACGCTGACGCAGACATTCGCCAGGGAGGTGCCGTCTCCGGGTCCGAACCAGGTCCTTGTCAGGACAGCCGCCGTAGCCCTCAACCCCAGTGACTGGAAGATGTTGTCGGCGTGTCCCTGCCCCGGCGCCGGCTGCGGATCCGACTACGCCGGGCGCGTCGTGAGGCTGGGCAGCTGCGTGACGCACCTCGCCCAAGGCGACAGGGTGTCTGGCGCGGTTCACGCCAACAACCCCGTCGATCCGTCGTCCGGGGCCTATGCCGAGTACAGCGCCGTCGACGCCAGCCAGCTATGGAAGATTCCGGATGCCATGCCGTGGACCGATGCCGCGGCAATCGGGCTGTGCGGCATCGGGACGGTAGGCATGGCAGCATGGCGGAACCTCGAGTTGCCAGGGACGCCCGAGGAGCCGAGCTCCAAGTCTGAGTTTGTCTTTGTCCACGGGGGAAGCACTGCGAATGGTACAATGGCAATTCAGCTCCTGAAGCTGTGGGTAGACTTTGGCTGCGCAATGAGGTCGTGGTCGCATCTTCTAATATCCTGCTTCGTCTAGATCGGGGTTTCGGGTGCTGGCGTCGTGCTCGCCGCACAACTTCAAGCTGGTGGAAGGCTTTGGGGCGGAAAAGGCATTCGACTATACTTCTCCCACTGCTGCCGAGGACATTCGCGCCTACACGGCCAACAGCCTCGAGTACGTGATGGATATCATTGCCGATGCTAAATCGCTCAAGCTGTGCTACGCAGCCATGGGTCGGGCGGGAGGCCGCTACGTCGGGTTCGAGTTTGTGCCGGATGAACTCGCGGCGCTTCGGAAGACGATCAAGGCGAGCTGGGTTCTTGGCATACGCCTGACTGGCGGCGAGATTGTCCTCGACAAGGGCTACGGGTATCCCGCCAACGCAGAGCTGAGAGACTGGGGGCGCCGTCTGTTCCGGCGCGTGGAGAGCTGGGTGCGCGAGGGCAAGATTCGGCCTCATCCCAGTGTCGTCCATGAGGATGGGCTGGATGGCATAATTGACGGCGTAGAGAGGCTGCGTCGGCGCGAGGTATCGGGGTGCAAGCTCGTATATGTGATTGATCGGCATGCATGAGAGTCACTCGGCAGCGAGACGAAAAGCCCTTGATTCACCGCAAAGCAAGAATCAATGCCTACTATTGCGCCCTTGGAACTTGACACTAGTTTAGTTTTGGGAAATCACCACGTTAGGAAATAACGACAACGTTATAGGACAGACTCCCTTCTAGCCCTGCAGTAGTTCCTTGATACTCGTCAAGTTTTCCCGGATTGAATCTACCAGCGAGCTGCCTGATTTTGCTGGGCCACCTCCCCCCTGGGCCATAACCACCTTGAACAGACGCGACAATTCGACGGTGCTGAGTATTCCCGTCGACGCTGTCCGCCCGAAAAGACGGTACTCGGCCGGAAGACCGAGCAGCTTCTCCATTGCATTGATCTGATGCTCCATGATTTGCACGAGAACCTTGATGTACAAGTGTCCCTTGATAGAAGGCAGGCCGCTGATCCGCAGCTCAATGGCCGTCTGGAAGAAGCCAACAACGTCCTGCAGCTGCTGTAGCGACTGGAGCATCCGATTCGTGATGGCGTCGTAGAGCCGCAAGAGTTGGAGGTAGCAAGAGAGGATCAAGAGCACCGCAGGCGTGCCAACGGGTCCCGTGTTGGCCGAACAAGAGTCGTCTTGCCGTAGCGGTGGCCCGTTGGGCAGTGAGTCTGCCGCTTCGGCGCCTAAACTCCCACTTTCCGAGCTGAATAGCGAAGGCGTAGGCATGTACGACGAGGAAGACGTGCAAAATCGTTCCAGAATCCCCGTGAACTCCGAGGTGCTCTGCAGAACCTGGGCTGCGGGATTCTCTTGAGTTTCGTGGATCTTGTCGATGCAAGGATACTCTCCGGCCGGGCTCTTGGGATGGCAACGGACGCGGTAGATTTGGATCGTGATCATCTCCATGAGACGCGCAAGGTTGATCAAGACGTCTCCGGACTCGGGGGACTCGGAGAGCAGAGCTGCGTCCCTGTCGCGCCCATCAGCGGCATCATCGTAGGCGCCCTCGCTATCCACGTCCATTCCCAGCTCTATTGCACCGTGCCGGTTGCCATTGTGCGAGTACCGGGGTGCCTCTTCAGACATGGCCTCGTGAGCCCTGGCCTGGTCTCCGGTCCCCAGCCCGACCAGCGGATCTAGCACGTCGTCGGCGTTGGGGAGCAGCATGCTAAACAAGTTGCCCATGTCGGGAGATATCCATGGCTGAGCTGCGCCACGGCTACTGCCCCCGGGAGAGGGCCGGTCAGCAAGCGCGCCCAGCCGTTCCTGCAACTCGCCATCCGGGATAGCCCACGCCGGCGTCGTGCCGATGGACCGGGTCGTTGACGTGAGCCTGGACGGCGCGGCGAGGGCCAGAGCGTCGACTGGCAGGTCTGAAAGCTGCCGCCGCCTCCGTCCGAGAGCTGCCAGAGTGTTCAATGATGTTTCAGACTGCGGAGCCGCAGCCGCAGCTGGAGCCGGAGCCGGAGCCGGCGGCTGCCGTCCGTCAGATGCGTAGCCGCCGTTTGTTCGCGGTCGTCCCGAGGGTCGCGGGCTGCTCGTGAAACACACGGCGCCAGCGCGGTGGCAGCGCAGGCAGGGCTCATTTTCGTCTCCCTGTTCGGCTCGCCTACACCGCAGCTTCTGGCCCCGGCAGCGGTCGCAAGCCGTTCGCTTGGTGATGTTGTAGTTCATGGCAGAGGCGCGACAACAGCAGCGGCGATTGTAGCAAGAGGTGAGCTGGCGCGGGGACCTGGCTGGCAACGTGGAGATATATTTAGGCATTCATACTTGTGTGGTCCGTCCTTTGTACAACATGAGAGCCCGGACCGTCAGCTTTGGCCTACCCGTGTACGACGTACATGTATGCTGACAGCTTCCCAGCCTTTGAGCCCGTTCTTGGATGCGGTATTTGTCGTCACATAAACCACTTTGCTTGAGGAAGTGGCCGCCGCACTTGACGCTTTTTAACAAGGTCTGAGAGATTGGCAAATGCGGCCCGTCGCTGAAAAGAGTGGAAGGTCAACTTTCAGAGCCACATGGCACAACGTACGAGACATCGACGCTTTTAGGGGGCCATGCATGGACGGTTCCACCGGAGACAACGAGACGTGATGCCAGCCCTGCATATGGTCGTAAAATTGCTGCAGCGTGTAGATAAATTGTGCCAGTAGAGATACATGTAACCACGCGAGACTTCTCCGCAGCCTTCTTGACCCCCTGCACCGTCTATTCCCACTTCACACCTTATACTATAAGCTCGGAACACCATTAGAGGCGGAGCGCATATTCGCGGAGTAGCTCGATGACATGATAGGCCTTCATCCAAAGGCAGCTGAATGAAGCGGCTACATCATTTGTCACAACTCAGGGGGTTTTGTGGCATGTTGACCTCCCACTCCTACTTGACACCACTTCCTGCATCAAGATCCACGGGCATTGACCTTCTCATCGTCAATTGCACTCATCAACTTATCAAGTAGGATTATAAATTCACTGCCTACTTTTATGTTTCATCATCTTAAAGATTAGCTTCAAATAGCAGCCCGCTAGCAAGGGACCTCGACTTATGGGGGAAAGGGGGGGGAATCCAAGAACAAAACAAAACAATGCATACTTCCATCCCAGCATTCTGCCCTCTCTTATTATGGCCTTCGATGGGCCATCTCTCTGCTTCCTTGTCGCCGCTGGATAGTATTGCAGGGGTTGGAGTGTGTCATTGGGTATTCCTGGACGACAGCCTGCTCTTAAAAGACCTGTCAATAATGACCAGTTGTTGGTCAGCTCACTTACAACATGTCAGCGTCATACAGCCAACAACTGTCCTCGAATGATAGACAGGCCCCCAATGGGCTACCAAAAAAACTTACTCCTTCTTACAAGGCAGCAAGTAGTTGCGTTCTGCGGAGTACTTCCAATAGTGAGAACATTGAAGGTGCAGCCGGCGATGTGTCAACGGCAGCCAACCAGTACTGGCCCAATTACTCTGCAAGTAAACCAATATTGCGGCTGACTCTGCATGAATCCGTCGTCTTCCCAAATAGGGTGCCTTTGGGGACGGCTTGAGTAATACCCTCCACAATCACATCGTTGCGTCATCACAGCGCTGAACCTCCCAAATATAACAAGTCGCTTGATGTAAGCGCTCTGGCAGACTTAATTGTAACTATACTTCATAGAGAGTTGGCAATTTTTGCCTTTGAAGTGTATTCACTATTTACCGTGCAAAGCGAGTTGTTTTGAGAGTCGAGTATGCACCATCCAGGCTACCATGTGCTGTATGAATAAAACAATATTGCGATAACTCATCTCTCAGCTTACACTTGCACGGAGTCTCGTCATAAATACATAAAAGATAATTTTGTGTTACCTTACACCCCGTTCAGGGGCAGAAGCTATAGTTAGAAACTATGAGTTTCAACGTCGTGTAATCTCCCATAGCCACCCTGCTGCAATGAACAGTTGCAGCGTCTTAGTTGCGGATATAACTCGACCAATATATGTCCGGTAGATCTACAGTAGATATTTGGAGCCGCCTCGGCTATCCGCGTGTCCTAGTGGCCCTCAGAGATAACGACCTAGCCTGATACAGTACCACTGTTATTGCCATAGGTAGATAGAAACTGACTGAGATACCCCAGTGCAGCTTTGTCAATGACACTTCCCCCAAACGATCCGGCTATGACTCCTCGCAAACTGGCTGAACAGGCAAGGGCGCTAATAAAACGCTTCTTTCCTTCCTCTAATACCCATCCCCTCCATCAATAAAGAGACTCAATTCCATAATCAATCGTCTGCTAAGACGACACACCACAAGTGTCATTCTCAAATGCCAGCAGCTCCGTCACCTGCGGCAGACCCCCCAATGTGCTGCCAGCATCCGGGACAGCAAAAGGTTCCATGGCCACAAGGTCAACATCTCTTCCTAGTTGGGTCAAATTTTCCAGCTGGCGAAAAGCATCGACCACGTTCCCAGCAGGAACTGAAATCTCCGAACCAGTTTCGACGCCGTATGCGAGGCGGCTAAGGCGCACCACTCCATTCCCGCACTGGCTCTCCATAAGCTCATTTCTGCAAGTAGTTGCTGCCTCTCTGCGATTAACGAGTCGATCACCATCTGCGACAACATGCTTGGAGAGTTTGCCGAGATCCACCGAGCGCAACGAAGGATTGACAGCCGCCAGGTCCTGTTTAGTGTAAGCACTCTGTTGTTTGAGAATGTTCAACGACTAGTCTCGACCTATGGAAGATGGCCTACCTGTAAGCTTTCTTTTGAAAGCCTCGCCCCGCGATCGTTCGAAAACAAGGTGGGAAAGTCCTAGTGGCGATGACAGAAATATTTAGGACAGAGGTTGCGGGTTGAGAAAGTCGGTAGCACTTCAAGCAACTCAGCTTAAATGCGATGACGGCCCCAACAATTAACGGCCTTGTCTAGTTTCCGAGCTGTCGACCAGGGTTGGAGTACGGGGATAGGGTCAATATATCAAAGCTACATGTAGTTCTCACATTGACATCTGGTGCAGCTTCCTGGGCTCACGGATCTCCAATATCAGTAACCAACGGCAACAAAGACAATAAATTAATTGACAGTATATTATATTAATTCAATGTCACTTGCTCTGCATCCCGTCTCACAAATAATAAAACTCCATAACAAGGCGTCGGTTTATTCACTGAACGCCATTTACAGTTAAAGTGGTGACTACATAATATCCGTGCTTTTCAATGTTGTCTTGTAATATCGATTGGGACCTATATGCTGTGGCGTTTTGTCCTCGCGCCGGTCATGGACCCATGGTAAACGTCCGGTCAATTCAATGTTGAAACTTGCAGTTGACATCTGGTGAGATGCTGCAGCGGCGGGGCCTCCATCAGGTGCCGACGGAACATCTGATTGATCGAATATTCGATATCGGCGTGCTGAGGTGACTGTCTCCCGGCGGGGTTAACAACATTGAATTGACCAGAGCAGACTTGACAGTGCTGAGAGGGTCACGCTCAACGGGGAGTTGCAAGCGGCCAGACAGACACGGTCTTTATACTTACCCAAATTACAGACCTCTTTAGTATCCTCCACAGTTATGCCGACAGCCAGCATGGCTCCCTTCTTATGACATATTGAGCAATGCGGCCGGATCAAGCAGCCTTAGGTGGGATCACGCCAACAAACGCGCCAAGGCGAAAATCCGCCCTGTCAGCGGCAGCTCCGGGATAGAAGAGGAACCTGTTCCGACTTACTTGTGATCCCATCACAAACGTAACGTCGCTTCTGAGTTCCGTTTGCATTATTTACAAGGAGAATAGGGTGATTATGCGCTTTTGTTAGCGTGATACTAGCAGACCAGGGGCATACTTGGGGGTATGCCAACATTGAACCAACTGTAGGCCTTGATTGACACGCCCACTTGCTTAAAATCCTGTTACGGCTGACGGGGCCGCACATCATCTTTAGTGGGGCGTCCCATGGACAGAAACGTACTCAGGCTGCCTAACTCGGGAGAAACTCTCCCGAGGTCGGGTTTGGTGCCGAAACCAGGTTAGGCTATTAGCCTAGTCCTAGCCTGTGTGTGGCCTAGTTGGAGATGCCCCTTGTAAAAAACTAAACCAGATCTCTTCCCAATTGTCAATCTAGGCATAGTACCTCTACTTCGGCCATGTGGTATGGAAATGCCCGGCAGTCCCACTTCATGCCGAGCCACAAACAAAGCCGGCCATGTGGTATGAAAATGCCCGGCAGTCCCACTTCATGCCGAGCCACAAACAAAGCCGGCCATGTGGTATGAAAATGCCCGGCAGTCCCACTTCATGCCGAGCCACAAACAAAGCCGGCCATGTGGTATGAAAATGCCCGGCAGTCCCACTTCATGCCGAGCCGCAAACAAGGTAAGTTGTGACGCAGCAACTAGATGGTGGCTAGTTCGAGGACAGCCTCGAGCTTGACATCCCCCTTTCCTTAGCCGAGATAGGTTGAGCTGCTGTCTCGTCATCATATGAGCGCCGTGCAACTGTCTCTCACAATATGAAACTGAGCAACTTACAGTTTCACATAACTAATGGAATGAATTGCATGGGATGCTTTGTATAGCACGGCGGTCAATATTTACTTTAAACCCAGCTAAAAGGTTATACCTAAACATATTATAACCCAGCATCTTCAACGAATACGAGAGAAGATAGGCTGCAAGTAGCTCCCCTAGCAATGCGACCTAATATTAAAGTACTAGGAGACGGCGTACTTGTTTATCAGAGCAGTGTAATAACCCTTGCTGAAGGAAGCAAACCCCAAATTTGCTGCTATTCACTTATTGCATCCTGCAACATATCTTCCTCAGAGATTCTTGGCGGCCCATCCCAGCCGGTTATTACCGGCGTCGAATACAACAAATGCTGCCTTTAACGCGACATCGCCAAAGATGCTAACGCCATAACCCGAACTGCTCTGCAGACCACCGAAGCATGTCTTGCCAGAGTCATTAGTTGCCTGGTAGTTCATATACGACCCAGGGATGGTGATAGTAGAGTTCCCCACCCAGAATGAAAAGCTGGGGAGGGTAGTAGAGCAGCCAAAAGTATAACCACGTTCTGACTCGTCATAGCTAGCACCCTTGACCTTAGAATAGTAGGCCATAACAACATTTTCTGGAAGTAGAAGCAGGGTAGCGCCAGTATCAATAATACCAGAAATCGATAAGTTC